TATGCCCCAAAGTTAGTCAGATGTTTAAGTAATGAACTACTAAATGTGAAATGGAAGGAAGGAGCAGTATTTAGAACAGAGACTTTTAGTCTTTAAATTTTATTCCTCTTTTTGGTCTCTTCTAACAGAGATGTTTGAGTTTTCATTCATTGTAAAGGGAACAAGCTTAGGAGAAGAGAGTCTACCAGTAGAGAGAGAAGAAGGGATTAGTGGGGGTGATATAGGTTAGAACCTCACCCTAACGTGACACCTCACAAATATTGATTAGCCGGTAAAGTAGAGCTATGGACGTAAGAGAATTTGAGAGCCAGAAAAAGCGGTTGATAGTAATCCTGAAATGGCCATGAGTAAAGCTGGGGAGGCAGGGTCTTGTGTACATGAGCTGGCTGCTGCCAGTGCTCAAATACTGTTTGGATGGGAACTGTCATCCAGGACTGGTTTTTCCCAGCTCCCAAAGACATCATGATGCCCCTGATGTGAGGAATGCTGATTCCAGAGAGTTGTCTCAATAAAATTGAGTATAATCCTGGAGCGAGTGGGAGCTTTTCTTCAGTCACCTGTAATATGAGTTTTCAGTTTGGGTTTTGTTACAGTTCTCATTATGTATGTCTCTCTAGCATATCTGTCTAGCATATCTATCTGTCCATCTGTCTGTCTGTCTGTCCATCTATCTATCCATCCATCTATCCATCTATCTATCTATCTATCTATCTGTCTATCTATCTATCTATCTATCTATCTATCTATCTATCTATCTATCTATCTATCCATCCATCCATCCATCCATCCATCCATCTGTCTGTCTATCTATCTACCTAATTAGCAAATATGTCTTCAATCAAAGTAGCTAGGATGAGGTCCTGGCCCATCTAACCATTTCTTGTGAAGCTAATATAATTTTTACTCTTCTGTAAAAATAATGAAGGCCTTTGATTTTTATACTGTACTTCTCTGGACTCTTTAGGATTTCATTGGAATGTTTCCTTTTCTCCCATATGGAATAGTAGTGTCTTGGTGTTGATTATAAATATTATACATAAGTATTTTACTCTCATACATATATATATATACCTCAAACTTGCCATCTGTTGGTACTGGACACATGAGTTTGGCTTTCATCATGTTGATTTATATGGCTTAATTTTGTTATTTCACTTGGCAGTGAAGAGACTATTTTTCCCCTGGTGGAAGTTAAACTGAATAACAACAACAACAAAATTAAAAATAAAAAGAAATAATAAATAGATTAGGCAGAAATTCTTAAACTTGAGCAAATGGATAATTTAATCAGATAGAACATATATTGGAAATAGAGTAAAATAGAAATACCAGTGCTCTGAAAGTTCTTACATCGAATGGAAGCATTTCCAGTTGATTTGTCACAATTCGTTTACTAGCGGGATGCATAAAGAAAGCTTTGTGGGATGCCTGGGTGGCTCAGTCGTTAAGCGTCTGCCTTCAGCTCAGGTCCTGATCCCAGGGTCCTGCTCAGCGGGGAGCCTGTTTCTCCCTCTGCCTGCCACTCCCCCTGCTTGTGCTGTCTCTCTCTCTCTGACAAATAAATAAAATCTTAAAAAAAAGAAAGGTTTTTGAATGTAAAGTTGAGACGATACCCCGGTGAGAGTAGTAAAGTAGGTAGAACCAATTAAATGAATTAAAGGACTCGAAAATTATGAGAAATGAATCAGAGGCATGGCAAGATCTGACATTTTAGCAGGATCGCACTGGCTGCTGTAATGGGAAAAGACAGAGGTGGGGGTGGAGTGCCAGGGGACAAGAAGGGAGACCAGCTGGAGGCTCCATAATAATCTAGGCAAAAATGTTAAAGATCAGTTCAGCACCTGGCATGGGGCCTGGCACAAAATAGTCATTCAAATAAAAGTCCTTGTCAAATGAAAAAAAGTCATCTAAGATGATTCACTTTGCATGCTTTATTCTTCTTCACATAATAATTTTCATTTCTCATAATTTTCAAATGAAGATTCTCCTGGATGGGCCTGACTTAATCAGTGGGAAGCCCTCAAGGAGGGATTGGGGTCCTCCTTGGGGTCAGAGATGCTCTCCTGATGGCCTTGAGGAAACAAGCTGCATGAGTTCTGTACCTGCAAGCAAATGAGTTTTCCAAAAATTTGAAATACTTGGAAATGGGTTCTTCCCCAGTCACGCCTCCAGATGAGAATGCACCTTGACTGACACCGTAATGGGTGGCTTGTGAGACTCTGAGCTGAGGACCCAGCTAAACAGCCTGGACCCCTGATGCACAGAACTACGAGATAATAAATATGTGTTGTTTTGAACCTGGGAGTTTGTGGTCATTTGTTCACAATAGAAAAACAGTACATGTATTTCATTCCTAGTCCCTCCTAGTGCTGATCCTTTTTTGGTTCTCTCTTGGGTCAACAGTGGAGGTCTGGGGTAAATTCAAGCTCTGTTCTCTCCGAGTTTAGCTTCCTCATTAGGAGTCTTCTCTGAGTCTAGCTTCCTCATTAGGTCTCTTTTCTACAGAGAGCAGATCTTGTGCTGTGACTTGAGGACATGTCACTACTGCCGGTTGTGCCTTTTATTTCTTTACTTTAGGAATTGGGAAGAGGAGAAGCCTCACTTGCAGATGTTCTAAAGGCAGCTGTGTAATGAGAGACCCTAATGATCACCCCCTTACCTACTCCATTTCTTTGAATTTGTTGATTCCAAGCCTGGAGCCCTGGCCACCTTGGTGGGAACCGTGTTTATGCAAGGTGTCTCCTTGTGTGGTTTCCTCTACTCTGAATTTCCCACCACTCTGATTCTACTTGGTCTTTCTCTTCATGGAATTTCTTACAACTTCTGATCTGTTGATGGCATATTTTCCTGTTTTATAATGCTGTTGTGGTTTCATTCTTTAAACAGAAAATAATTTTCCTAGCACTTCAGTGGGGGCTTGGAAGTGAAGGGAGACAGATGTTGGTAATGAGTCTGCATGAACTCACCTGCACAATCTGGACTGGACTTTTTATAAGAGAAAACAAATACTGTTTTGCTACCTAACACTGATTTAATATATTTTAATAAATTTGGCATATTTCTAATAAAATCAAGGAGAAAGGGCAGAATTTTTATTATAACAACTACTTTTCTCGTATTCTATCATTTCCTCCTTTTAAAGTTCCTAAAAACCTATCTCTATGAAGACTCTGCTCTTTTTTCTCTGTTTTTACCCTCCTCCTACTTACACTTACACAGCCTCTCTCTCTACTTTCTTAGGGTGATTTCTTAGAACAAATGACTTTAAAATATTGCTGACACTATGTTTTTTTTCTAACACTGATAGCACACATGATGTAAGTGCTGAGGATGTTGAGATAATTGAACTAAAATTATGATTTTAGAATTGTTTTAAGACTCTTTTAGTTCTAAGTAACACAAACCTACTTCAAACTAGTTTAGGTTACAGAGAATTTATTAGACAGAAATTGTAATATTTCACCGAACCCAAGAGTAAAAATTATATTTAGATATCATGAGGATGTGGAGCCAGAAGCTAGAAAGTTGATAGAAACCCAGATAGTTGTTACCTTTCTGTCTCTCTAATCTCTGTTTTCGTGAACATCTGCTTACTTTGTTTCTCAGCTGACTCACTTTGTTTCACATGGGTATGGCCAAATATGGCTGCCCAACAATGATAACCAGGGTTTCCAAGCTTGTATCGTATCAGTTCAAGCAAATAAATAAGAGGCAGAATGCCATATTCCAAGGAGAAATATGAATTGGTTTAGCTTGGGCCAGATAGCTCTTTTTAGACCAGTGTAATGTAGTCATGAGGACAGATTTTGTGGTATAAACAGGGCTGCTATGGCCCAAGTTCTCAAAGAGGCAAGAGGTAAGTGAGTGCAAAATTGGGCAGATATCTCAAGAGATGTCTGCTACAAACAACATTCTTGTGTATATCCAGTGTGCTATTTCTTATCAGAGAGACAGTTTAGCTTGTGGTTAAGAACATAAGCTTAAGGTCTAACATAAATTGATTTGATTCCAGCCTTGCCACCTACTAACTGTGTGACCTCTGTGAGGATTAAAATCTTTCTGTGTACAATTGGAATGATAAAGCCTATCCCCTGGTTGCTGGGAGGATAAAATGAGAATATATATGGTACATCCAAGCACTTAATGAATAGTAGTTATTAATTGTTACTATTATCAGACCATTTGGGAAATGGAGGAACATACATTTTACTACCTCAAAGGGTGCAAGAAGATCTAGAGGCAAAATTCCACGTGCTACAGAATTACATAGTCAATAAAAATCTAGGAGAGAGTTTTGCCTTTACCACACTCGACCAAAAGAATGGATACAAGTGAGGCAGATGGTGTTAGGGCCCAAGAATCTACACTTATTTTTAGAATGAAGTATTAGCTTCTATTCATTTTTGAAAGAGGTATCGATGGTCTCACGATCCTAAAGAGAGCCAAGCAGGTGGTCACTGGAACAGGCATCATAGTTCTTTCGAGCCAGTCCCTGTTCTGATGGTCCTTACGTTCATTCCACTTGGTGGCCGGTCTGTTCTGATTGGCTAGTGACTTATCATAACAGTGAAATATTTTTGAACATCATCCCTCGAAACCAGGTGTGTACCATCAATTCAAAGACTTCAGTTTTTGTTAAAGGAGATGCATCTTTTTCTTTATAAACAATAGATTTCCTTTGCAGTTTTCTAATGTATATGTTAAATTGTAGGTGGCAGCCCTTCTTTAAATGAACTCAGTAAAGGATATGTAAAATGGTAATGATCCAAACTCTATATAGTTAAATGAACTCATAGCTTAGTAAAGGATATGTAAATGATGATTTGAATTCTGTATAGTTAAATGATACCAAATGTCAGCCAAAAGTTAATATTTACATTAAGTAGAGTTAGCCAACAAACTACATTTATGGTTTCTTTTTAAAACATGATGTATGCTGTTGTGTATGAAATTGCAGGAGAACAGTATCTCATTGACTAACTGTGTAATTTTCTCTTAAGTTACGCAGACATTCTGATTGAGAGGGAAGTGTTAATGCAGAAGTATATTCATCTAGTTCAGATCGTAGAAACAGAAAAAATTGCAGCTAACCAGCTCCGGCATCAACTTGAAGATCAAGATACAGAAATTGAAAGACTTAAATCAGAGGTACTTCCCAGTTGATAGATTCTTCCCCATTGTTTCACATTTATTGTCGTCTCCTCATAATTACATAACCCCTGTGTAGGGCAAGATTTTAATCCCAAACTTAGTTCCTTTGCCGTCAACATGTACATGGTCAGACTACAGATCTATGCTAGAAAGGTATCTAGTCTGTTCGGATTTGAGTAAATATGCTACAACAAAATATCAGAGTAATATGCTGCTTTTTAAATATTTTGTGCTCCTGATGTCCTTCATTTGAGCAGATAACCAAGAGCTGACTCTAGTATATAATTGTTTGTAGACTGACTATTGTAGTAATGATAACTGTGAATCTATCATAGATGCAGTTAAACTCCCAAATGGCAACTAAGGAAGGACCAGAAATGAAGCCCGGAAGAATTTGCTGCTTCTGTATCTAAGGAGTCCAACTTTCTCCCCTCTAGAATTTTGGAAAAGCACATTTGAGTTAAAGTATAAGACATTTTCTAGGGTACACTTTTTCCTGAATTTGGCATTCCTGCCTCCCTCCACCCCACCCCTCACCCTCCGAAGGTGAACTTCTTAGGCCTTGTACCCCTGGATTATGAGATTGTGCCAAGTGAGAACAGAAGATGGTCATGGTGTCTACAGCCCTGGTGGTGGGCCTGGGTCCTCCCATGCTCACAAGTGCCTCTGTCTATATACAGAAGCCCAAGGGTACCTTTCCTTGCTGTCCTGTTATTCCTCATGGAAAGTGGTCAATAACTGAAGAACTGAAGAGGAATGTAGAAAACAAGATTTTCCCCCTTTTCTGACTAGGGGTACATTAGCATTTTCCTAGCTTCAAAAGAGAGGAATAGAACAGAAGGAAACCTACGACTAATTGTATCCTGTTGACAGAACAATTCAGGGTCCTCAGTCTTGGTGACTTTCTTGTCACTTTTACAGTCGTTGGATGATATTTTCCTCTTTGTTTCCTCACTACCTTCCTCTAAGACATACTCTGAATCCTGTGAGAGGTTTCCACCTCCTGCTGCCTGTGTACATCACCTCCAGTTCACAGAGCAAGGGTGTAAGCTGATTCCACCTGGGATCTGATAAGTTGCAGACCATGTTCACCATATCATTAGTGTTGTTAACTTCCCAGTTCAACCCTGAAATCTGATATAGCGAAAACAACAACAAAACTTAAGAAACCTGCATTTTAAAAGACTATATCAGGCACTGTAATTTAAAACAAAATTATTGTGTTCTTTCTTTGCCACAGTAAGCTAGAGCAGATGCTTGTCGGCTAAGTGAAAGAAGTTGGCATTTACTCCACCAGAGAAACTCAGCACCAAGCAATGTTCCCCAATCTTTATTTGTGCATGCTTATCTGTCTTCACTATGCTCTATTTTAGTCTGAATATAGATTGCAGCCCCAAACTGTCAGTAGCAGGTATGCCTTGTTTGGTCAGTTGGCAGGAACGATAATTTATTTCTTACTCCTTTTATTTTCCCACATCTCTGCCAGAAAATGGCAGAAATGTGTATTTGGTATTGGTGACAAAATGTAAAGACAGGTCAGAGGAATCAGTTATGACTCTTTTTAAATGTCTGCGTAGTAAATCTGTATAGGTTCTTACCTTTATAAGAGCCTGCAATTGAGTGGTAGTCTAGTGAATTTTATTAATAAGTGTACTGGAGCGGCCATCTGGTCTTGAGTTGCCCTTCACAGGCCACATAACTGAGCTGGAGATAAAAGAGATCCCAGGTTGTTTCAATCCTTTTTACCTTTTCACCTTTTCTTGGTTGGCTTGGATCAATCCCAAGACTCTGAAGTTCCTTTTGCAGTTACCATTTTCCCAAGGAATTTTGTGAATCTGCTGTACTTATGTGTATCTGGAAGGCTGCAGGCTCATCATGGGAAGCAGGAGCTTTGGCTTGAGTGGCATTGCATTTGGAGACCACAGGGCATTACAGGCAGCTACCATCAGGCAAGATGGCAGCATGCCACTCAGCTCCTGTGAAGGCCTTGGCCTACTCCTCACTGGGCCAAATTGTGGGCTAACATTTCTCCTAAGCCAATCCCAGTTCACACTTCCCACAGTCACTTCTTATAAGCACTTAATGTTAGCAACAGAACTAAACAGGCTTGCGGTGAAGTTCTTTCTTCCCTTGCCTTAGCACCAAGGGAAGAAAGGATGGATAAAAAAACGAAAAAGTTTCCTGAGGATCTCATAAACTACCTTGTAGGTATAACTTCCTATGAGTTAATGGCTAGAAGCCAGTATTTCCCAAATCACGAAATGGACCAATTCTGTGTTCTAGATTATTGCTCTTAATAAAACCAAGGAACGAATGCGGCCTTACCAAAGCAATCAAGAAGATGAGGATCCAGACATCAAGAAGATTAAAAAGGTAGGTTTTGGGGGGTTTCTGGCTTTGGGGAAGCATGATGATCAGTTATCTGTCCTGTAGTGTTGTCTTTGCCACCCTGTCCCTGAGCTGAGAACGACCTTGGTGTATCTGTTTTAATGGCTCTCAGACTTGCCCTTCAGCGTGATCCAGGTATGGCTACTTTGGAAAAGTTTCAGCTTGAGATTTTTTACTGGTTCTGGGAATCCCCTTTTGGACTCTGGGGGAAGGATGCCAAAACCAGACGTTAAAACAATAGTGTTCTCAAGTTGGGTTAAGTAAGTGCTGTTGAGCCTCCTGAATTTGTGCTGCTTTCATATTTTAGGGGAGTATTTTTTAAATGACATTTAAAAATATTTCTTTTAGATTTAGATTTCAGTGCTTATTTGGAAAGGATTTTTGTGAACATGTGAGAAGATTGACTAAATACATCTCAGATTTCTGTTTTATTATCGTTGTTCCTTTCTTGTTTAACATCCACATCATCAGCAGATCTTTCTACTTCACTGTCAAGTATTACTGTACAACTTTTGCACTTAACCAGACACTGGTGCTCACTCTGTTCTACTGTGTTTGATTTATGTCATCTAGGTTTTGAGTTCCATCATCTTAATTCTCTCATAAATCACCTACCCAGCTTTGTTAACATTATATGAAGAGCTTCGTGGTTAAAGAACGTTCTTTAGATACACATCTTCAGGTCTTTATTTCATCTTATTTTTTTTCTTATTCCTGTTTTCCATGCTGAATAATTATTCCCCTGTAATTGTAACAAAACTTGAAATATTGCTCAGAGTTTGAAATAGAAATGCTTCTTGGAACTAAATTGCAGTGTTTTCAGTTTTTAAGGAATAAAAAGTGAAATAACACCATTCCCTTAGAATTTAAAAATTTTTAAATCGAATTTGGTTTATGTTGTTGTGATACAAGATTAATGCTGTTGCCTTTCTTTTCTTTTTTTTTTTTAAGGATTTTATTTATCTGAGAGAGAGAATGAGAGAGAGAGCATGAGATGGGGGGAGGGTCAGAGGGAGAAGCAGACCCCCTACCGAGCAGGTAGCTCGATGCGGGACTCGACCCCAGACTCCAGGATCATGACTGAACCAAAGGCAGTTGCTTAACCAAATGAGCCACCCAAGCACCTGCCTTTCTTTTCAATAGTAATGAAGTTGTCTGTAAACAAAGATAACAGTAAAATACAATTTCCAGTTCTTTTTTTTATAGAAACTGGTCTTTTAGTAAGTAAACCAGCTTTTGCCCAGCAGGCAATACCTAAGTAAAGGAAAGATTTTATTTAACACAAATTTCGATTAAGTTGATTTTTCAAAATACTTCTGTTAAATGGAAGAATACTGATAAATGCTTTTTACATTTTCTGCCTTCCTGTTTCTCAATAGAAGCAATTAAAAATTACTTTTGAAGTTGTTAAGTAGGTTTTGAAATCAATTCTATTGTCCTTTATGTCCCCATCAACCTAATGTCTGTGTGGAAAGGGGTGTTTCAGATGAATTAGTTTCTCTCTTCCAATCTTGCCAAATATCAACATAATGTTTTTATCTTCAGGGAACCGAAAATTGAAATTTATCATATTACACAGAAACTTCCCATTAGAGTTCTCCAAATAATGTGCATATAACTTCCCCCACATAGTTCTATTAAAATGTGGTTAATTTTTATTGTTTGAAGCATGGCAACTGTATGAATGCCTGCATACAAATTGACAGTATGATGACAACATTGGTAGGTAAATGAAAGAATTTTAAACATTGCAAAAGAAGAGTAGTTGTTTAAACACATGGTAATTTAGACTATATGGGTGAAATAGTAGGGAAAAAAAGTGTAAGAATGTGTTGAACAGATAACAATGATACTAAAAGATTTGGGGTGCACCTGGGTGGCTCAGTCAGTTAAGCGGCTGCCTTCAGCTCCGGTAATGATTCCAGGGTCCTGGGATCGAGCCCCACATCAGGCTCCCTGCTCAGCGGGAAGTCTGCCTCTTCCTTTCACTCTCCCTCTATGCTCTCCCTGCCCCTCTCTCAAATAAATAAAAATAAAATCTTTAAAAAACTGTTTAAAAAATAAAAGGAGATTTGGTAGTGATTTAATGCTTTCAATTATATGTGGATTTGCAACCTGCTTTGTTGCTGAATCTGCCACTTAGATATCACACACCCTAATAAATTATCATATAATTTTTTTTTATATATTTAGAAAGGACTTCAGATTGTTTTGGTCCATTATTTTATAGGTGAGAGAATGGAAGACCAGAGTTCAGAGTTACCCAGCAGGTTAGTGCAGAGCCTTTGGGTTAAGGTATGTCTGGTTAGCACCCAGCATTTACCTGGACACTTGAAAGATGTTCAGTAAATACTTGTTGGCTAAAACGTGCAGGCCAGTGCACTTTCTCAGGTTTGTCTGTTATTTTTCAAATCAAATTCAGATCAGTTTTAGAGGCTATCATGTTTTCTACAGAATTGATTTTTACTTATATTTCCTGTTTCTTTTCACAAAATAATCTCCATTGCAAATCATTAACATGTGTTTTCTCCATGTGGCTGGGAGAGAATCCTTGCAGTTAACAAAAAGCAGGTAAAAGAATGCCAAGTCTGATTGCATCTTTCCTATGTGACTTACCACAAAATTTAGTTTACTTGTCTATAAATGGAAGGGGTCAGATGAGCTTACGTCTAACACTCATTTTCTAAGCTTACCAAAAAAACCCCTCAATAACAACAAATCAAATAACCTGATTTAAAAATGGGCAAAGGACTTGAATAGACATTTCTCCAAAGATGAAATCATATACACGTGATCTTTGGAGAAGTCATATACACATGAAAAGCTGCTCAGTATCACTAAGCATCAGAGAAATACAAATCAAAACCACAGTGCAATGTCACCTCACACCCATTAGGATGACTACCATCAAAAAACCAGAACATAAGTGTTGATGAGAATGTTGAGACATTGGAACCTTTGTGTACTCTTGGTGGGATCATGAAGTGGTTCAACTGCTGTGGAAAGCAGTATGGTTGTTCCTCAAAAAATTAAAAATAGAACTACCACATGATGCAGCATTCCCACTTCTGGGTATATATCCGAAAGAATTGAGTGTAGGATCTTGAAGAGATATTTGGAACTCCCATGATCACTGAAGAACTATTCACAGTAGCCAAGAGGTGGAAGCAACTCACATGTATATCAGCAGATGAATGGATAAACAAAATGTACGTACAGTGGAATATTATTCAGCCTTAAACAGGGAGGAAATCCTGGCACATGGTGCAGCATGGATGAACCTTGAGGACATTATACTAAGTGGAATTAACCAGTCACGAAAAGATAGATACTGTGTATATGAGCTATCTAAAGTGGTTAAATTCACAGAAACAGAAAGTAGAACAGTGGATGCCAGGGGCTGAGGGAAGGGAGTAGTGGGGAATTGTTCTTCAATAGGTATAGAGTGTCGGTTTTGCAAGATGAAGAAGGTCTGGAGATCTGTTGTACAACAATGTGAAATACTTAACGCTACTGAGCTATACACTTAAAAATGGTTAGGATGGTAAATTTTAAGTTACGTGCTTTTTTACCACAATTAAAAATTTTTTAATATCTGCGTTTGTATTGTTAAAGAATAAACCTTCAAGTTATTCCTTTATTAAAATGTTAATAACTGAATATGTAATATTATCCTATTCTGGTGGCCATTCAGGCAGTCCTAAAGAGCTTAAGATAGGGAAGAAACTTGTGAAGCTGAGAAAAATACTATTTTTAAATCCGCTCTTTGCCTGTTATCTGGAAAAGCCTGCCATTACTTATTTTAGTGTTGTGACCATTAACACACTAACAAAAAAGCAGTGTTTTATATGGGACAGGGTGGAAACAATCCTCACAGCTCCCTGAGATCTTTCTGTTGTTGTTTTGTAGGTTCAGAGCTTCATGAGAGGATGGTTGTGTAGAAGGAAATGGAAGACTATTGTGCAGGATTACATTTGTTCTCCTCACGCTGAAAGTATGAGGAAGAGAAACCAGATTGTGTTCACCATGGTTGAAGCCGAGTCGGAGTACGTTCACCAGCTCTACATCCTGGTCAATGGCTTCCTCCGGCCCCTGAGAATGGCGGCCAGCTCCAAGAAGCCTCCCATCAGCCATGATGATGTCAGCAGCATTTTTCTCAACAGGTTTGTCTTGGCATAAATCAAAGAGTCATGTGAAAAACACATATCTATTTCTTAAAAGAATTTTTACTTTACTCTTAAAAGAATAGGTATCATAAATTCACCTTTACGAATGTGTGATATTGAAAATAAGAACACTGTCATTTGTGTTTCATGATTTGTCCAAATTTACATGTCTTTATCTTGCATCATGGCATCTAGTTTTCTGGGTTTTTTTCCTCTATTTGACATATGTTTTCTTGTCATTGTGTGGGCATGTATGTATTGGGAAAGATAACCTCCTTCATAAACTGAGGGAAATGGAGTGAGTAATGAATGGGTCTTTACATGTAATTTATACAGACGTATTTTAGAAAGAACAATAACTAATGGAGGGCCTGAGAATCTGTAGCAAATTTATTTTCCTCAGTAAATATATATAGTGTCCTTCCTGCTGAGGTTTCGTCAGTGAGCAAGGCAGAAATCCTTGCCTTCATGGAACTTAAATTTCGATGTGGGAAGAGAGACAATGAATAGTGAATAAGTGAAATATGTAGTATATTATGTGGTAATGAGTGTTGTGGAAGAAATCAAGATGGGGAGAGGAGAAGGGGAGAAAGGGGGTGCCTGGGTGTTTTATGTAAAATTTAGTAATTTATTTATTTTTGAATACATAATACATGTACATTGTTCAAAATTCAAAACAACAGGAAAACATTAAATAACTCTTACTTTGTCTCTGCCCACCCCATTTCCCCCATTTTCTGTATTTAACCATTTTCAGTAGTTTCTTACATATCTTTCTAGTGTTTCTTGATGTAGATCCAATCAAATATGAATATAGTGTTATTTTCCCCCTTCTTACACAAAAGACAATGAACTTTAATATGTACTTGCCTGTTTCACTTTTTTTTATTATGTTGTTAGTCACCATACAGTACTTCATTAGTTTTTGATGTAGTGTTCCATGATTCATTATTTGTACATAACACTCAGTGCTCATTGCGGTACGTGCCTTTTTCACTTAACAGTATATTCTAGACATCTTCTGATACTGACATCTAAAGAGCATTCGATTTTTTTAAAAATCACTACATTGTTTTACATTAGGTGAATGTGCCATGGTTTTTCGCTAGCCAGCCTTTGGAAAGTCCTCAAAGATAAGTTGATATTTGAATAAAGAACTTTATCAGTTAGGGCTGTAGGATGAAAACCAGCAGAACGGGTTGTCCTGGAAACCAAGGCAAGAGAGAACAAACTATGTCAAAAAGGTCAATTAAATGATAACTGAGAACTGACCGTGGGTTTAACACAGAGCTTACTGGTAACTTTGATGAGGGGCCAAAGCCTCACTGGAGGGGACTTAGGAGAGAATAGGGGGAAGGATAATAATTGGAGAGAGTTGGTATCAAAAACTCAGTGTTGCTATAGAGAGGAGCCCATAAACAAGATGCTACCTGGAGGTAAATGTAAAAGTATAAAAAAGTCTGTGTGTGTTTTAAGATGGGATAAAAATTACACTTGATAACAAGGGGGAAATGATGTAGGTAGAGAGGGGGAAATTGCTGGAGCAATAAACTTGCATAGACAAAAGTGGCTAAAACATGGTGTTCAAGTCAAGCTCGGAGCATAGAGAGGGAGGGAACAGTGCCTTGACACATATGTCATTAGGAAGCAAGGACAAGTGGTGACAGTGCTGATAGAAGGAAAGTGTTGGGGTTAGATAAGAGAAGAAAGGTGTAAAATAATGTAGTATAATTGTTAGGCAGCTGGAAGAGCCTATATTACTCTATTAAGCTGGTGGTCATGCCTTTGCAGTGAGACTAGTCAGGATGGTTGTGTTTTTCTTTAGCCACTTTCAGCTGCATGGGTGCAGGTGCAGAGTAGATGGATGGTTGGCTTACTGCTGTTGCATGAGGCTAATATGATGAAATGAGAAATGAATAGGGGAGTTGAAAGTATATGCAAGGAAGAGATTATAACAATGAGCCATGGAATCTAAACTGTGTGGAAAGGGAAATGATGGTGTGAGGGGGTTGTGATCAGTGATAAGATGACAGGATCATGGCTTACGGTCCTGGTGATGTGAAAGGATTTATAGAGTCAGAATTCTAAAGGAAGTGAATTGAAGGATAAGGAGGTGGTCAGAGAATAGTTTGCTTGAAACTGAGATAGGAAAGGGATGTAGTTACTGACAATGACAAGGTCTAAAGTATAATCAAGGGAGTGTTGAGGTCAATGAAGGGTAAGATCCCTAAAGGAGAGGAGTTCAAAGGCCCTACACGCCAGGATATTGGAATGTTGTTTCTTTGTGCATATTAGAGTTGCCCAGAATTATGACAGGAGTAGTGCTGGAGAAAGGACTGCCAGCGAGCTGGGAACTTGGAGCCCAGAACTCAAGGCATTAAAAGAGTGGCTGGGGAGAGTTCTGCTCCAAGATGGTGATGTAGGAAGACCCTAAACTCACCTCCTCAATGGAAAATAACAAATTACACCTGTTAATATAACAGTTCTTCTCAAAGAAGACCTGAGGGCGTGACTGAACAGTTTCTGCACACCCAAAGATAGAGAGAAGGGCAAGAGAGAGGAAGACATGGTAACAAAGGGACTCAACCCTTGATGCTGCAGACAGCAGTGGGACTGGGTAGTAGTGAGGGGCCAGGGACAGATTCCTCTGTCCTTGGGATAGAATGAAAGCCACAGTTTAAAAGAGCAACTGGCATATAAAAAAGAGACAATGCTAGAAATTTGCTAAGTGGTGGAAGGGCCGCATGGATGCTCTCCAAGTCAGAGGGACTGGAGAACGACACGGTTTATGTTCCCGTCCCCCTTTTTTGTTTGTTTTTATAAAAACCTGGAAAAGTAACATATTAGTTTTGTTTGTTAATATGTTCACACACCTACATGTTTGGCTGTGTACTGCTTTAAGGAAGTAACTTAAGTGTCCATCAATAGACCAATGGATAATAATACACACACGCGCGCGCGCGCATGCGCACACACACTAGACTATTACACAGCCATAAAAAGGGATGAGATTGTGCCATTTGAAACAACGTGGATGGACCTGGAGGGTGTTATACTAAGTGACATAAGGCAGACTAAGAAAGAAAATACCATATGGTTCCACTCAAAAGTGGGATCTAAAATTAAATAAATAAGTAAGCAAAAAGCGGAATCAGACCTATAAATACAGAGAACAAACTGATGGTTGCCAGAGAAGAGGTGGGTGAGGCGCTGGGCAAAATGGGGGAAAGGGAGAAGGAGATACAAGCTTCCAGTTATGGGATGAGTAAGTCATGGGAATAAAAAGCAAAGCATAAGGAGTACAGTCAGTTGTATTGTAATGGTGATATAATGGGACAGATGGTAGTGAGCATAGTATAATGTATAAACTTGTCAAATCACTAATTGTACACTTAAAAGTAATGTAATATTGTGTATCAACCATAGTAAAAAAATTTTTTTGAAGAAAAAGACCAAAAATTTTTGTAATATATTTTAATTTGGCTTTTTAAAGAATTAGGCTTTTTTGCATTTATCTTATTTTATTTTGTTTTATTTTCTTTTATTATTGAAGTATAATTGACATGCAGTGTTATATTAGTTTTAGATGTACAAGGTAGTGATTCAACAATTCTATACATTACTCAGTGTTCAACAGGATATGTGTACTCTTAATTCCCTTTATTTTACCCATCCCCAAGCCTGCGTTTAAGTTATTGCCAAATATGAGATAAAGGTTATTTTCCCTAGGTTTTTATAAAGTGAAAACCCTATAAGGAAGATTTTAGGGACTAAATCATAGATCACGATTAAAATGCATTTAAATATTTAATAAGGCACAGCTGGGGGTTTATAGATGATTGCAAAAAAGAGTGGTTGATGGATGGTAACTTGTTTTTTTTTAACGATTTATTTATTTATTTGAGAGGGGAGGGGCAGAGGGAGGAGGAGAGAGAGCATGTCAAGCAGACTCCACACAGCGCAGAGCCCATCTTGGGGCTTGATCTCAAGACCCTGAGATCATGACCTGAGCCGAAACCAAGAGTCAGACGCTTAACTGACTGAGCCACCAGGTGCCCCTGGATGGAAACTTTTTTTTTTTTAAGATTTTATTTATTTTATTTGAGAGAGAGAATGAGAGAGAGAGCACATGAGAGGGGGGAGGGTGAGAGGCAGAAGCAGACTCCCTGCTGAGCAGGGAACCCGATGCGGGACTCGGTCCCGGGACTCCAGGATCATGACCTGAGCCGAAGGCAGTCGCTTAACCAACTGAGCCACCCAGGCGCCCTGGATGGAAACTTTTTAACAGGGGTTTAGAAGCTTGGCTTCTCTGTTGTGAGGTGGGAGGGAGATCTCCCCACATTAGGTGGCAGTGGCCACGTTCAAGTGTGTGGGACATCGCCAGGGACCTAAGCGGGGGCTTCTGCTCCTCAGGCTGCGCGGCTTGCATTTTGGCAGTGTGTCAGCCAAGCACATCATTCCAATGGTTCTGATGACAATGGAAAGGATGGTAAACTGCACTCTGTACCGCATTGGTCTTAGGTCACCTCTGGGGATTTGTTTCCGTTGGATTGCCTGATCTGCAATGTGGAAGGCCAGGCTTGTCATATTGTTTAAATTTGGAGTCAGGATGTGCTGTGCCTCTTCTTGGAAGGCAAGGCTGTAAGCTCTACACACAGTTAGTAGTTGTTTACCGTACCTAGTCCTTAATGGAGATTTGAAGAGGTATGTTTTGATTTATTTATTTATTTTTAAGATGTATATTTTTATTTTTATTTTTTTACTTTTTTTTTGCTTTTTAAAAAAGTTTTTATTTTAATTCCAGTTAACATACTGAGGAGGTATGTTTTTAAAGCTGAGGCTTATAGGGTGTTGTCATTGCTGTTGTTTAACTGGATTTCTTTCCTTGCCTTTCCTTAAGTGGGAGGTACAGGTTTCCAGTTATGGCAGGTCAATTTTTTTGAATTTCTTTTTTTTTTTAAGATTTTAAAATTTATTTATGAGAGAGAGTGAGCAAGCGGGTGGACGCAGAGGGTGAGGGACAAGCAGCCTCTGCAAGCGTGGAGCCCGATGAGGGCCTCATTCTCACAACCCTGGGATCATGACCTGAGCCGAAACCAAGTCTGATGCTCAACCCACTGAGCCACACAGACGCCCCGATATTTTTGAATTTCAACAGAGTTCATACTTAAAAAAAATAACCTCCCTATCTACGTGCAGGATTGTTTCGTCTGTTTTCTAACCATCAAGGTATCAAATATGAAAGTAGATATATCAGTTACAAACATTGTCAATGTAGGAAAGAAAAGCCTCTCTGTGAGCGGAGGGAGTTCACTACTTACAGAAGTCTTTGGAAGAGCTGGAGGAGTAACGTCAGGGAGCTGCCCCCGGAGCTTTGAGTTCAAGGGTGCAGTACCACAGACATGCTTCAGTGGTTAGCACAGTACGACCACCACCATTGCCACCGTATCTGCCTCTCAGGTCCAGGAAGCTGCTGCCTAGAAACTAGGATGGTGAAGCTGGGTGCTGGAATGGCCCCTAAAACACGCACATCTCCGTGACTGATTTCAGCAACAGGAAGATCGCCTATACTCCTGCCTTCCATGTCTTACCAAGTGCATCTGTCGGTGCAACTGGTAGGATGGAACTCACATCCAGAACCGCATTGCCAAGGGAGGCTGGGGAGCATAGCTTTAGCTCTCCATCCTGTCCACTTAGAAGGAGGACGGGATGGAGGTTAAAAGACTAATACACAATACCCACCAAGCTAGATTTGGTTGAAATCCTTGCACAGCAAACACCGCTTGGTTAACATTTCTGTAAAAGAAGAACAAGTTAACCTCTTCAAGCAGTGTGTTTTTTGTTTCAGGGACCATTTGGAAAAAGTTCAGGATTTCCCATTGATGTTTATGTAGTGGAATCTGACTTCAGCAAACCAGAGGATCTCACTTACATGAATGATTCTGTATTTGATTGTGTGGATGTGTTAATTCAGAAAAGGCTTTAGAGGTTCATGCCAGTGGGTGAATTGTAATGAGGAGAAAGCAAAAGTTGCTTTGGTAACTACTCTTCTTGAACCTTTTAGAAATTTGGACCTCTAACAATGCATAGTTCTTATTTTAGTAACTCCATGTAGGCTTCGTCCTTTTCAGAGGATTCTTTCACATTTCTATCTTGGGAGTCTTAGGAGTGGTTACAGTAGAGTTCTGCCAAACCTTTGCTATGGATTTTTTCCCCTCTCTCCTGTCAAAACTCATTCTGATTGAAGAGAGAGTCCTTTCCCTGAGTTATCAGGTAAAATCAAATCTAAGAGAAAAAGGATCACAACTAATTTTTTGATTATCAGTTGAAGTGCTACATTCTAACAGAAAGGTATTTCTATTATAAATTGATAAAGAGAGTTATATGACAGTGATTTGGTACTTACTCTCTTCCAGTATTTGAAGCTTAGCTCAGAATTTTCTTTGAATTTTTAAGATTGTCTGGAAGGGAGATGCCTGGGTGGCTCAGTTGGTTAAGTGTCTGCCTTTGGCTCAGGTCATGGGGATCAAGCCCTGCATCAGGCTCCCTGCTCAGGGGGGGAGCCTGCTTTTCTTCTCCCACTACCCCTGCTCATGCTCTCTCTCTCTCTCTCTCTCTCTCTCTGACAAATAAATAAATAAAGTCTTAAAAAAAGATTGAAAGGCACATTGCTTTGTGAGGGCTAGTGCAGTCCATGTTATTATTAGGTATATAGTTTGGAGGCCCTGGGAGACATGTGTATCATGTATTTATTAAGACTTTAAGGACTCAGTGGGCTTCTTTAACAAATAGACACTTTACAGTAACTGGATTATATTATTTTTCCATTTTTTTTATAGTGAAACGATCATGTTTCTTCATGAAATATTTCACCAAGGACTGAAGGCAAGGATAGCAAACTGGCCTACTCTAATTTTAGGTAAGTGCATGCTTTAGAGGTAAAAGATTTTCTTCTAACATGGCTACAATTAAAGTAAAGTAACTTCAACATCATTCACCTTACACTGTCTGAATTTCCCCGTTGACCTGTGAGCTTCCTTGGGTACTGGGCTTCTTTTTCATTGCCCTTCCAGCCCTTTCCCCTGGCCTGTCATGGTGCATGTGGGGCTAGAGTTGCGCCCCACCCCCAGGTTCATTCTACCAGATCTATCAGTCATTCAGGCATCTGAACTGGGGGGCCCTGTGCACATGTGACCCCGGTGCTGGGAGCCCCTCTCGGCCAGTCCCATGGAGTGAACAGAGTCTCTCCTCATCCCTCGAGAATTTACCAAGCACAAAGAGAAACTGTCATGTTTACTTCTTTTTTCCAGCTGATCTGTTTGATATTTTGCTCCCCATGTTGAACATTTATCAAGAATTTGTGCGTAATCACCAGTACAGCCTCCAAGTGCTTGCCAATTGTAAGCAAAACAGAGATTTTGACAAACTCTTAAAACAGTACGAAGCCAACCCTGCCTGTGAGGGGAGGATGCTGGAAACCTTCCTGACCTATCCAATGTTTCAGGTAAGTCATCTGGGACCCATTTCATAAGTCATTGATTGCAGCCTGGTGGTGCTGATATCTCAGGTGACCAGAGCAAGGTGTGCAAGGATGCCCTGTGGGGAATTACGGCACAAGTGCATCGTCTGTCATCTTGAGCTTGACCCTGAGATAAACAAATATATGCCATACATTTTCTCTCTGTGTAGTATAGGGAAGAAAAGCAGGCATCGGTGTTTTGTTGTTGTTGTTGTTGTTGTTGTTTTTTTAAACCAGGCATTTTTGGAGCAATTAAATCAGGAAGGATTTTTTGCAAAGTAGCACAATTTTCTCTTTGCAGAAAGATTCCACACAGACTTCTTCCATGGAGTCTCCTCCTCCAGCATGTTTAAAAATATTATCAGGTTTACAGAAATAGGATGCTGTGCAAAAGTTCCAGTATATGCTGGTTGCATAAAAGGCTCCTGTGGGGTGGAGTGGCTGCTGGGAAAGTCTTTGTTTTCCTGCCCATCTTCCCCGCCCTGTTACAATTGCTGTTGAAGCTCGTCTTGAGCTGGTCTGGAGCTCTGAGGAGCAAAAGGAGGCCGTGCTGGGTCACAGAGGCCGTGGAGACACAAGGGTCTGGAGGCACTGGCTGGACCTGGGGACTCTTGGCCCCTAGTCGTGTTGCTGCATTGAGGCTGGGGCTTGTCCTTACGTTTACTTTTTGGCGTTAGAGCACCCTGAGGATCAAGCACACTTGTGTTCTTGCCTGTAGCTAGGGCTTTACTGTTAAGAGTCCTTGAGTGAGCATGACAGAGGCCAAAATGTGAATTGAATCTCCTGTTCTTTTGAAAAGTGTAGATTCTGTTCTTTTGGACAGGCATTGAGTGTTCTCATTGTGGAATTTATGGGGCTTCTGGCCAGGCCTCCAGATTGTCATGTGGTAAACCAATTCTCCTAATCATGTGTTACGGCTTCTGCGAAAAGCTTTGCCCCCCTGAACAGGCATCACTGACCCCAGCTGATCATTTTGTAGCCTCCGAAAGAAATGTTGCTCTGGTTCATAATTGTTTATCCTAAAGTTTGTCAATCCTGCTTGAAATCCTGGAAGTCACCATAGAGGTTTAGTGAGATTTTTAAAAACCAAAAGGATGCATTTGAAACAACTTAAATATAGTGTAACTTTATAATGTTATTGTGTTCTTTCATGGAACTGAGTTGTTTGAACTCTTTGCGTCTCTGAGGAAATATTTTGCAAGAAAAATTTCAAAGCAAAAAAAAAAGTTTGCTTTTTTTTAAACCTTATAAAAATTGTAATTTAAGCTTTTATTTATAGTGAAACAAACTTTATATAGTGCAGTGTTCTGAGATTCTGTTTGAATTTTTGGCAGTTACCTCCGGCTTAGGACTAAACACATGAAATTTGTCTTTTTGGCAACTTCATCTCAGGTGAATATTCAAAGGTAGAGTTGTGAAAGGCACATGGAACATTCAGGGAGGTACTTAGCTCACTTTCTGACAGCCCACTGATGTCTTCCTGAGGCCTGTTTAATTTCCCCTTGGTGTCATTCAGTGTTTTTTAAAATGCCACAACTGCACTTGCACGTTAGGGGAGGTGTCCAAACAGTAGAATGTAGGGCCTTGGAAAGCCATTCGGATCACCTTACAAATGCTGAGATACTCTCCTACCACCTGCCCTCCTTGCCCTGGAGTATAAGCCCAGTCAGAATGACTTGGCATTTTGATTGACTCCAAGGAATTCCCATAATGTCAGGAAAGGATGGTTGGACTGAGAATCTTTAGGAGACCTGGATGTCTTGCTCACTCTTCAGTTGTACCATTGAGGAAAATAATTGAACTAATCTAAATCTCGGTTTCTTACTCTTAAAATTGAGGCACCTGAGCTCTAGTCATGTCCCGGAGCTCTAGCTATCTGAATCTGTGATCCTAGGGGGACTACACCGGTTCTGAAAGTTTGGTTTGGGTAACTGTGTGGCGGTGCAAGGAGCCTGGTGTTTGTCCAAGAATCGTTATCCCAAGCCTGTGGTGGCCCCAAACCCTAGAATTTAGCTGAAGGGTCAGATGTTGAGGTTCTCTGGCTTCTTCTAGACCAGGGTAACCAAAGGCACCGGTTATGAAAGCCATTGTTCTGGGAGAAACCTCAAACTTGAAGAATTTAGCCAGTGTTGGTCCAAACTGCAAGAAATGTGCAAATTGAAAGAACATGGAATTGTACTGTTTATTTATTTGCTTCCCTATAACTATTTTGAACAGACCAAGAGGGGAAACCCCATCAGAATTTGCTACCTAAGAGCCTCATTCTCCTTGGGTGTCTCTCCTCTGCCTTGTTCGCTTGGTGTCTCTTCTTCCTGCCTTCTCCCTAGCAGTGACCCTATGGGACACTTGGGGGAAAATTGCCCTTTCTGGAAGCTTGAAGGTTTTCTTCTTCCTAGGTTCCTTCTGTCCTTGTTTCCTTTGGGTTCTTTCACAGGTGACGGGAAATAGTCATGGAAGCGTTGGCTCCCTCGGAGGGTCTAACTGTTGCTACTTCCCTCAAAAATGCTGTGCAGCAGTACCTCGGCACCTCCACCTTGCTCTATTGGAGGCTGGACCTTGGGCCTTCTTTTGCTATAAGGCAGCAGAAGATGTGACCCTAGTTCATGCCACCAAGGGACCTCTGGCCAGACTTTTTCTTGAGTCTAGACATGGGGGCAGAGGTTGGTGTGGGCACAGGGGAGAGGCGATTGGCAGCCTTTAGCCTGTGTATGTGTAGAAGAGAAAAGTGTGATATTCTTCCTTTTTCTGGGCCCTTCATCAAGTCCATTGTTGCTGTTAATGTCCTATGGTGAGCTATGGACACATGGAGGAATTGTAGAATTTGGATGATGCAGTAGATTTATTTATCCTCAATTGAACTATCAGACCAGTAAGTCCAAGTGTTGCCAAGAAAAAAATTTGTTATGGGAAATAATGTAGTCATTAACATAATCTTTAATTCGCAAAGACAGTGGCTTGAAGGGTACTGTTTAAATTGGCTTCAGCTGCTCGTAAGTCCATAGGCAAGCCAATCGTGCGATCTGCCCCTGACAAGAACAGTGGTGTGAGATGTTCTCCAGAAAGTAGCCACTTGTAGCTCTAGCCACCTAGTCACTGTAATTGGAGAGCCAGCTAATTAATGTCTATAAAGTGACAAATATTGTTCCATAACTGAAAGGAGAATTAGATTCGTCTGGACAGCACTTACTGTGATTCTTGGTTTTGAGGGGGAACAGATTTATAATCAGCTCTTGACTATACAGATGAGCTCTTTGGAGAGCTGTCCACGTCTCTGCAGAACGTCCTTTCCCAGCTTTTTGGCAGCTTCAGGCTTGTTTGTTCCTCCGCCAGAAAGTAGAGAGGGCCAGTCTCCGAATTTCAAATCCATCTACTTGAATCTTAGCCAAGGAGCTCTCTAAAATAGATTTAATTAATGGGGGAAGATCATGAAGCTATTGACTAAACGTAGTTTTGTGGGTTATCAGTGCATGCATTGTAAGTGTCAGGCTCTCCCACTCCTACCTTCTTTGTTATGAAAAATGTAGTGCATTAGCTGTTGATTGCCTTGATTTTCTTGTAGGACTGCTGACTTAGAGGCAAACTTACCCGTCATGACATTGTGCAAAAGGGATATGTGAAAGTGTACGTATCCCAGGGGCCATTGCCAGGAGAAGTTTTATGGGATGGAGAGACAGAAAGCGTCCTCCACATGTCTTACAGAGAAAGGAGTCTCCCTCCTCTAAGAAGTCTGTGTCTGAACGTCCAAAACCTTCATATGATGACATTCCCTAGGACACGGTCCCAGAGTATCTGCTGCAGATCCATGTCAGTGCTGATGGCACTGCCCTTTGTGCTCATGCATAATCATGGGCTTTCAGTAAACCACAGTAAGTAACCCAGTGAAGGCCACCACCTGAACAAGAGCAAAAGCAGATCCATGGATAGAGCCGCCAACACCTCAGGACAGGATGGAAGGAGCTAGGCACGGCACCCTGGGAGGCTGTTTTACTTTCTTCATTCTCAGAAGTCCTTTCAAGGGCGGAGTGAGACCCCAGGCCCCACAGAAGAGATCCAGTGGGTTCATGCACCTGTTAGAGTCATGAGCATGGCTGGCTCTGGCATTTACTGTGAGACCACCTTGGGCAAGTCACCAGACTGCTTCACACTTTGTTTCCTCCTTCTCTCTGAAAAATGGAGAAATAACCCTTCTGTTGCTGTGAAGGTTTGGGTGTACATGCCAACCTCGAGCTCCGATCTGACCCATAGCAGGCAGTGTTATGATACCTGTTGTTCATGCATGTTGTTATTAAAATTAAGGCCGCTGCCCCGGCTTTCTAAAAAATTTTAGTCTGTAAGCCAGTAAAAAATGAATATGTAGGATCGCTATAACTTGAGTTAAATCTCTACTGTGTTCTATTAAAATCTTCATAGGGCTGGTGGAGTTTCTGCTTTTGACAGAATTCAGGTAGTTTACCCATAAACAAAAGTATAAGTAAATAATGTGATTGAACAATACTTTTTACCGCTAGAAGGACGAGTTAAGGTAAAGTAGGATGAGAATTTAATAAAGGTGAATATATCTTCTCCCAAGTTTTAATTCTTAGAACACTGCAGTAGGATTGTGAATTTAAAAAAAAAAAATTGTGGGGGTGCCTGGGTGGCTCAATCAGTTAAGCATCTGACTTCGGCTTAGGTCATGATCTCAGGGTCCTGGGATCAAGCCCCATGTGGGGCTCCCCACTCAGCAGGGAGTCGGCTTGTCCCTCTCTCTCTCTCTCTCTCTCTCTCTGTCCCTCCCCCCTCTCGTGCTCTCTCTTTCTAGCTCTTAAATAAAAAAATTGTGAGTGAATATATCTAAAAAAAGACTCATGTGACTTGATAATTGCTTTATGTTTCCCTCTGAGCCAACTTTCAAATCTTATGATTAAGAAATATATGATTATATTAAAAAATCTGAAGAAACAACGGTTTCTTTGGAACATAATATTTTATTACTCTCTTCTTGTGTTCTTGGTGAATGTGTATATGTGTATGTGTGTGAAGTTTGAAGCATAGTTCATTTCAAAACTGTTAAAGTGGAGATGAGCTTCTCAGACATGATGGCACAGTAGAGCACATCCTAGGGTTACTCATCCTGACCTCTTGCTCACGATGGCCTTTATTTGCATTTAGATCCCCAGGTATATCATCACACTTCATGAACTCCTAGCTCATACACCCCATGAGCATGTGGAAAGGAAAAGTCTGGAGTTTGCTAAATCGAAACTAGAGGAACTGTCCAGGTATGTGGAGAACTGATAGTAAAGGCTTGATTCGAGAAAGCAGTAAGTTAGTCTCTGTGGAAACCTAATATATTTACATCCGGGGAACAAGAAGCAAGACATAGTCCAGCTTCTCAGATTCACCTGAACATGAAATGCTAGCTCTTCAGATGGTACTGAAGCAGCATACACATTAATTTTAACCAAGAAAAAATATATCTTTGAAAATGTTTTTATAGCATGTGAATTTATGTAATTGAGATTATAGGTTTATTTGGGTTTAAGTTCGAAAATGTTAACATTTCTTTTAGCGTAATAGGGGAAATGATTTTTAGTTGTATCTTTATGTTCATATTTGACAGGAAGCTAGAGAATGTGTATTTTGGATTTTTCAGTGAGTTTTCACTGTTTCAGGGAATTATTTACATCTGTGTTCCTTTAGCTTATATGGAATAAATGGTATAAAGGTCTCTAATTTGCTCCACCTCTAAGGAATGGCATTCTAATTTCAGTGAAGGGAGCTGTTCATAAAATAATATGTTGCTTTCCTGTTGCATTTATAAGCAACATCCCCAGGGTACTCATTGGGCGCTGACCCACTTGTCATTTAGAATCGTGATGTACATTGGCTTTGGTTTGAGTCATGGCTGGTTGAAGCCTGGAGGTCTGCTCTCCCCACAGCCTCAGCTATACTGATCCAAGTTCAAAACTGAGCTTCCCAGAGAGAGCTCTTTGCATACCCGCTAGGGCTATAGCAAATATCTCTCCCTGTGATCTGTCCATGCTGTGTCTGACAGGATAATGCACGATGAAGTGAGTGACACTGAAAACATAAGGAAGAACCTTGCCATAGAAAGAATGATCGTAGAGGGCTGTGATATTTTGCTGGACACCAGCCAGACTTTCATCCGCCAAGGTAAGTCCTTGTTCGGTGGACCCACGGTCTTAACGATCTCTGTGACTGTCACATTATCCCTGGCAGATCCCGGAAGGCGTTTTGGAGCAGGCTTGATGGAGCTGTGTGATTGATACTGTTCATGCAGGACATCCCCCTGGCTTTGACCGAGGCTGTGCGTGAGGCCCACCTTTGTGCTGTTTCTTTTCAGGGGCCATGAAAAACAGCAACACAATAATAGTAAAGCACGAGTGGGACAGTAAATTACATTCTGACTGGACTCTCCTCCTCAGTGGACCAGACATTCTCTACAGCTCCAAGGAGGACAGATCGGTCTGGCCGATGAGAGTGGCAATGCCAGGTGGCGACGATACACAGGCCAAGGCCCAAGAGAAACTTGCGTTACTCAAAGCCCTTTCCCATAGCGGTGGGGACAATGTCCGAAGTGAAAACAGCTGTCTCTTGTTCCCCTTCTTCATCAGCACTTCTGGATCAGCCCCACATGATATGATTTGATTCATTTGGCAACTCCAGTTGCCCAGTGAAATGTCTCTTAACCCCTGACAGGCTTTGGTAATGGGGAATGGGTCTTGTCTGTGGGGTGGGTGCTTGGCAAGCATCCCCTAGTATACAAAGCTTTGGAAGTGTTGAAGCTGTGGAGAAAGCAGCCACCGAACAGTGCAGCTCCCTCCAGGGCCTAAACCCCATCCAAAGTCCTTTTTCAGTGCTTAGGTGTTCTGAGGGAAGGGAGCATGCCCCATGGAGTTGATCTGAGATGATACATTGCGCACATTCATAGTTTTGAACTTGGTGAGCAGTGGCACATGAATTTAGAACTAGGATTAACCTTTAATGTAGTTTCTGTTCCTAATGTGCCGACATCATTGGGAGATATTTGCATTTCTGTTGCCTACCAAAATGTGCTGCTTAGCATTTTTTTTTTTACCTCATCCAACAAGACATTGTTTGAGCTGTGAACATACTTTTTTTTGCACAGAATACTTAAAAAATGTAACGTGCGCTGTTCTATTTTCCATTATTTATTTACAGAGAGAGAAATTACACATATGTTCAAGTTTGGAAGTATATTTTAGGAAATGATAACTTTTCTCATTTTTGGCTTTTGATATTGATTTTCCTTTAAATGTAGCTCAGTATAATGCTAAACAACATCAGGCCTCCCTAATGCCCCTCTGTTCCTCCGCACAGACTCTGTCCCCACATGGCTTCCTGCCTTCCTGACCCTCGCCTGGCTCTGTGCCTTCCCGTGTGCTGTCCCCAGCCCGGGGATGGGGACTGCCTTTGTCCATCCTTCTGTGCCTATCAAAGGTCTGCGAGTCCTTCTGGGCTCAGGGCAGACTCCTCTAGGGAGCCTTTTACAATTTTCTCATCTTTCTCTCCCCTTCCCTCCAGTTAGAGTGACTTTACCTTCCTCCTGGTTTCGAGGCCCCTCCCTCCTCGTGCATGTTTTATCCTCTTGTTCATTGTAGGTACACATTGGCACGCCTGTTGCTCCCAGCCATTGTAACTCTGGAGGGCTGTGTTTACAAATTCTCTCCTGCCTTATATGCTGCTTTCCATTATAGATACCTGAAAGACGGGCATTGGCATTGGAGTAAATGGAATTGCTTGTTGAATTGCAGTTTGAGCTGTTAGATGTCTTGTTTTGTATCTTTCTTGTATTTGGAGTTCATGGAAAAAATACTAATTGACTAGAGCTTTATAATACATGAGAATGCAAACAAATGTTTCTGTAACTAGTATTCTATTTCTGAAAGGTCTTTTGATTGAAGAGTGTTATGCGTAAGCATTTATTTCTACAAACTTAGACTGCTCTTATCTAAGTTTGAAAAAAAACATCTCTAATGAAAAATGCTGGAAGGCCGAGTATATTGAATAAGTCATTTTTTTTTCAATGCACCGGGAGGAAAAGCCCCCACGAGCCGCCCCTCCCTTTGATTCCTGTCCAGATGTTATTGATTGCCTGTTTGTGCCACATGTTTAAAGCACTTCTGTCAGCTATTAATATATCTGATGTTATTATTGTATTGATGTTGATATAATGATTTGTCTTTACAGTATTTTTCTGTATTGTTTGGCTGGTTAGTGTGTTTAGGAATTATTCAATAAAGTTGATTTTAAAAAATCAGACCTGAATCTGAAAGTAGAAAGGAATCCAATTACATATAATTTGGGAAGTTTACATTGTTTTGCTTTGGTTGCTCCTATTATCACTTCTCCTTAATACCCTTAACAGATTTTAAAACCCAGTGAAGTGGGTTTCTCATTCTTTTAAACTTTGAAGGATTCTATTTTCTTTGAAATGGACTACAACCTAGCTCTAATTGTCCACTAGTATTTGTGTTATTTACTTTTAGGGAAGGTATGAGGTATGTTTCTGTGTGTGTGTGTGCGCGCGCACGCACCCATATGCACAAATATATGTGTGGTTTTAATCTTAAATGAATTGTTATTCTGAGGACTAGAAAAAAGAAACCATCCCCGTCAGCCAAAAGGCCTCCTTGGAATAGGGGCATCAGCTAATCTCGAATCTCAATCTGTGGGAATTTAGTGATTGAAATCACAGAAGCTTTATTGTAAATTGTTTCTAATGATTAAACAGTTGATGAGCAGGATGCAAAGGACTCTATCATATTGCAGTCTGATAATGTCATTTATTTATTGATTGATTGATTGATTGATTTGCTAGAGAGAGAGAGAGAGTGAGAGTACAAGTGGGGAGTGGCAGAGGGAGAAACAGGGAGCAAGGAGCCCAATGCGGGGCTCGATCCCAGGACCCTGGGATCATGACCCGAGTCGAAGGCAGACCCTTAACCGACTGAGCCACCCAGGCGTCCCAGTGTCATTTATTTTCTAAAGTCTACTCAGAGTTTGTTGAACTAAAGTGTAAGAGTCCAAGGCAACAATAGGAAGACAGTGTAACCACGTCACTGGAGGTCAAATCCTGCCCCCTCCTTTTCCTTGCTGTAGGATACTGGGCAGTTTACTTAACCCTCCTTTGCCTCCGTTTGCTCTCCTTGCGTTGGAGTTAATAGTACCCAGCTTTCCTGGATGTGGTGAAAATGAAACGGACTAATAATGCTCACAGGAGCATCTAGACTAGTGCCTGTGTGAATATGATATAAATTTAAAAACCAAGATCTAAATTTTGGAATGAGTTTCTATTTTTCAATAACATGAAATATATATGAATATTTAGTAGACGATAAGGCGCTCTAAGTTGACATTTTGCACAAAACCCGTTATATATAGTCAACGTCTTGTGGAAATGTGACTCAGGATCATTAAGTGCAGGTGACCGAATTCAGAGCTAAATGCATTGAGAATGAGACCTGGACCTCTGTGGTACCTTAATCATTCCCAGACTGGAAATTATGTCCTTTCAGTGTATCGGTGTTCTTTGGAATTGTAACATGGGGTCTGGAAGTAATTGTACCTTCTCAAATACCTAACCAGATAACCTGGAAATTGCTCTTCGTTGCTTCTCACTACTGAGTGGAATGAAGAGTAAGGGCATTAGCCAGTCCTGAATCCCACTCTTTCGGCATTTAGTGATTGAATTAACAGAAGCTTTGCTGTAAATTGACCCCAGTTAATAGGTTGAACGGTGATAGAGATGCAAGGGACTGTGTTGCAGCAATGGTCTGATACTGAGGAATTACCAATTTAATACTAAATATTCCTTTACCTTGTATTAACTAGAGAGGAGTCCCCAAGTCTTATAGTTGTGTTTAAACACCAGGTCAAACGTAAGATAAAATGTGAAAAAAAAAAAAATCCACCTAACATCTTTTTTCCAAAATGATTATTTTATAAACCAAACAATAGTGTTGAAATTGCTCACTTTAAATTCTGATGTATAGACTTCGGTATATACCTAATATACATAGCGAGATGAACCGTTACAGATCAAGCAGATTAGTGTATCGTTGCTACTGAAACATTTATTTTTTTTTTTACCTGAAAGGTGAAATTCACAGTATTATGAATATATGAGCTAGCAGGGTATTCTGTAATTTCTGTTTTACAAAATCATTAAATGCTAGAAGCACTTAACAACACATAATACTGAGTCTTCGTGAACTGGGTTCCCTTTCTGAAAATGACTTCTACACCTGTTTATCCACCAGGATATTTGTCTTAAGCTCCAGCCTGCCCTAACTGATCTCACGACCACCCGCGGCAAAGCTAGAACGTACTGTCTGCTCCCATCCAGTCCCGTTCCAAGGGTCAGTTTTAATGTTGCTGAATCCGCGGCTGTCTCCTGCCTGTGCCACTCACTCTGGTGTGATCTTAAGACAGCTGCTTAGCCCCTGAGGCTTCAGTTTCTCTTCTGTGAAATGAGGGGTGAACTAGGTCCTCCGAAAGGGCTCCTCTGGCTTTCATTCCAGCCCGTGAGCCCCATGAGTACGATCCTTCTGCTATTACTCGCTCATTTACTTCTCCAGGCATTCTGCCTTCTGCTGTCCCCACCCCCCCTTTACTCATCAAATGTAATTTCTTGCTGCCTGCGCTTTCTGACAGCTTGCTCCCACCTGCCTCACCTCCTCTTTTCCCTCTCCTCCTGCCTGTTCCCTTCAGTGGAGTCAAGCCTTCTCCTGCCCCTTGTTCTTCAGTCCCACACCCTCCCCCAGGACTCCTTCCATGCTATTCTTTTCCCCCCCCCCCCCCCCCCAATAGCTGCCTACTCTGCCTCTGTCAGGCAGCCCCACCTAAACACTCACCTGAATAGATGGAATCTGCACATGGAGGCTTGGATCCCACCCGCTCCCTCACCCCCACCCCACCCTTCTTTAGATCTCTGTTAAGAAGTAGATGCTGTTTGGAATATTCATATGCTAATGTGAACATTTTGTGACCCACACAGTCCTAGTTTTACCATTATACATATACGAACAACTTTAGTGGGGTTTTCACCACCTACGGAGGTAATCTGTGCTCATTAAAAAAAATCAAGAAATGCAGAAAATGTATGAAGAGGAAATGAGGTTGCCTGCAATCTCGTTTTTTAGTGCTGACCCCTGTTAATATTAAAGGGTTAGATATGCATTTAATGGTTCTTATGGGACTGATATGTGCCTTTGTAAGGCTGCATTTGGGGTAGGTAGTAGATTGAACAAATAGTAGAAATATTGCTGACTCGGGGTAATTCAGAAGTCAAGGTATTTACAAGAATCTTTCCTAGTATTTTTTGGTTTGATATCTAACTTAGATTGGAATTTTATTTTGTGGGGAGAGGGAGGGCATTATTAAGGTGAAATTATAAAGTCTCTGTACAGCTTCTCACATTGAATGGAAGACAGGTTTGCTCACAGGAATGCTCTGGGTATAGACTTCATGACTTCTTTTCCATTTAGATTCCACAAAGAATTTTTCTCACTATTTATTTATTTATTTATTTATATTTTATTTGAAAGAGAGCACGTGAGAGCACAAGGTGGGAGAGAGGGAGAGGGAGAGAGAGAGAACCCAAGCAGTCTCCATGCCCAGCACAGAGCCTGTGTGGGGCTTGATCCCACAACCCCGAGGTTACAGTCCGAGCTGAAGAGTCAGACACCAACTGACTGAGCCACCCAGGCGCCCCATCACACATAATTTCAATAGAACCTGAAATAGCTGCCCTTTAAAAATTAACTAAATTGCATTGAATTGTATAATTTGTGTATCTTTATAATATACATGCATTGTAAATTTTATTTTTTAAATACAAAGTAAACTCTACTAATATGCTCTTTGTCTACCTTCATGGCCTCAGGAAGAATAAATTCTATTTTCTTTTTATTATGTTGTCCTTATTATCATATGTAATTATACAATATGTATCTTATTTTTAAGTAAAGAGGTTGACTGAGATCAGATCACCAAGGGACGGATGGCAGACGTGCCTTGTTTGAATCCCAGTTTGTCTTTCTTTCAAACTTATTGTAATGTTTATAGATGAATAATCAATGAGTCTGAAGTGTTTTACAAAAGTAGTAGGAATTACTTGGACCCTTAAGACCCAATGCATTGTCTCTTCTGCTCAGAGTGTAGCGGGTTTACTTCCAATGAGTCGTGCATGGAATAAGTCCCTGGTATCTTGGGAAACAGGCCCTAGAGTTTGTTGCATCAAGAACAGCTCTCACTTGACAGAATTTTAATTGTGTATTCTTCACTTTTGTGATCACCAGGTTCTCTTATTCAAGTACCTTCTGTTGAGAGGGGGAAACTTAGTAAAGTTCGCCTGGGTTCATTGTCTTTGAAAAAGGAAGGAGAAAGACAGTGCTTCTTATTTACAAAACACTTTTTAATTTGTACGAGAAGCTCAGGAGGAAAGCTCCATCTGCTCAAGGTACGGGTTTACATGACTATTCCACTTATGTCCATGCACTTGAGAGGTGCTGAGGTTAATTTAATTATGGCTTTCCCATGCCTAGTATCAAAAACCCAGATTGTCACAGGTGCATGGTGAGGCAACCATACAGTTGCTAAGCTTGACATGTACTTTGTTGTCAGTTGTATCCAAAATAATAGAAATTTAAGTGTGTGTTTCCATAAAGAAGTACAATTAAAATCATCACCTGGAAAGAACAATTACTATTGAGCTACAAAAGTCCTTCTTAAATCACTACAGTGTACTGATCCAATATTTGCTAAATGCTATTTTATCTTGCTCTGTACAGAGTCAGCACACCACGGCCCACAGCCTGCTGCCTGTTAATAGAGCTTTATTGTCACACAGCCACGCTCGTGTGTTTACCTATTGTCTGGCTGCTCTCATGCTTTTAAAAATGGCAGATTTGAGTGGCTGCGATAGAGATCATATGGCTTACAAAGCCTAAAAGATTTACTATTTGGCTCTTTATAGAAAAAGTTTGCCTACCTATACCTTCTGTTAAGAGTGCCTGCCTTCTTAGCCTGCGCCATGATGATGTTTTTCCACTGCGTACAGCGCTTCCTGGTTGGTGGGCTCAGCTGTATTCACTCTCAAGGTGCCAGCTAGTCTCCCACAGGCCGACCTGCTCAATTTATAAACACTGGGAGTGAGCGTGGGTTGGGGGAGAAGAATCATGAAGTTTAGTGAGTTTAATTGCTTTTACACAACTAAATTTAGTTTTGGAATCTATGAAAAATTATTTGTGATGCAGAACTGTTGTGCTTTCTTCTGTGGCAATTTGAATAAAGGTTTATAAATCTGAGCTTCCCAATGTATGCAAGACTGTCAGCCTCTTAATGAAACAATTGGTTTGTTTCCAGACAGGTGGGGTTCTCTCTCTAATAGAATGTACGTTGATTGAGGAGCCCGATGCGAGTGATGATGACTGTAAGTCACATTCTATGTCTTAGAATTATGGTAGAATAACGAGGTCTTACGGTTTTTACCTACTTATAGCTACGAAGAGCTTCTTAAGGAGGCAGGGAAGATGTTGAAAATACACTCCCTGAAGTCAGTTATGTACGAGAACTTCTGTTGAATCATTTAACCTGTGAACTTCGTTAAAACATCTTTGGGAGTTCATATTTTACTGAATTTGTCTCATGATAGTGACTTTTTCAGTGACAGGCGAGAAGTAAGGAATTGAATCAGAGAGTGTTGGAATTCTGTAGATTATGGAAATTAAAAAAAGAAAAGAAAAGAAAAGAGAACAGGAAATGAGTAGGAGCCAGGGATCCGAGTCTTGAGTAACCTGCTGACCTCAGCTTCTTTATCTACTTCTGAACTTCGTAAAGGCTTCCCCTTGCCGGAGAAGTACACATGTTGCTGAAATGAGATTCTGGATTTGAACACACATCAATCATCTTAGTAGAACTCTGTGAAACTCTCTTTTTTCATATTTTTGTATTCACATCTAATTGTTTGCTTTGCGTGTGTTGAAGCCAAAGGTTCTGGGCAAGTGTTTGGACACCTGGATTTTAAAATAGTAGTGGAGCCTCCTGATTCTGCCCCTTTCACTGTAGTCTTGTTAGCACCTTCACGCCAGGAGAAAGCTGCCTGGACGAGTGACATAAGTCAGGTAAGCAAGTGGCTCTTGCCGTAAGTTGTGTTGTTGCTGTTGCTGTTTTTAATTTCACAACGTAAACTTGGTAGGGGGAGATTTTTAGTTATTTTGTTTTTATTAACAAACTTACATCTGGTTGCTGTGGTCACTGCCATCACCCCTGTGTATCCTGTTAGCTGGGACCATTTGTTACTGTTGTTTGTTTTTCTTGGTAAGGTTAAAATTTACCCGAAATGTGGTCCTTGCATTTTAATTCCTGGGCATTTTTGTATAGGCTCTAAGTGTAATCAGTTGTGTTGAGCAGTGTTAAAATTGCCCCGTTAGCAGTAGATTCTCCAGTGACCCCCCACTAGATTATCTTATGCTTACTTGTTTCTGAGGTAGGAAAATGGTGAGAGATACAAAAACAGCTAAGAAGGGCTGTAGTGAGAAATCACAAATTAAAGAATCACATCGAAGATGAGATACTGTCTGTAGTATGAAACCTGAAAATGAGCTTTCCTGTATTTTATATAGAAAAAAATCAGGAAACAGATTTGTTTACTTTTCCTTGATCGGCAATGCCCAGTTAAGGAATTGCTGCATTTATACAGAAATTGGAAATATATCAGAACTAGTTGTGATTGGGCCTAGGCATTCCTAAATCCATGCTCCACATTAACTTTTACTCCATTAGCTGATATAGGAGAAAAATGTTCATGTAGGGAAAATATTAAAAGAAGGCTTGGTAATTATTTTCTATGTTATTAATTCAAGGAGGATTGGGGCAAATGGAAAAAGCATATACTGTAGATTCAAATGCTTTCTTTTTTTCTGAGGAGCTCATAATAATTCGTGTATAAAACTTAGATAAAAATGTTAATTTTTTTCTGAGTGACTGAAAACTGAGGGAAACTAGAAAGACAATGAAGGGCAAAATAATTATTTTTATGTGTCAAAAGAAATTTTATAGACTTAATCTAATTTGATCCTGACAATAGTATTCTGAAGGTAAACTGAAATATCAGCCCACTTCACAGGTGAGGAGCCTGAGGTCTAGACGGCTAAGCGTCTGTCCAAAGCTACGCTAATCCTAATGGTCTTTTATTAGCGTTCTAAACATCCTCCACAGGAGTGCGGGGTTTATGCTTATATACCCCAGGACTCCTTTGATGGTGAATAAATAGCTTCAAGTGAAGGCACTTCTTTTCTGGCCAAAAAAAGAATGAAAACATGGGGTCTTCTGTATTTGCCTAATTATATCCTTGTGGTGATTTATCAATACTTTCATTAGCTCTGTACTGTATGAATTAATACTTTAGTCTGTTTGGAATATATCTCTTCCCTTACAAAACTCTGAATGATTCGTGGTTCTATGAATGTTTGTTGAGCAATCAACATATACTGCCAGGTGTTGTGTAGGTATCAGGGATATGGTGATGGTCCCTGGTCTCAAAGAGATGGGCAGGCCAGTAGGGAAGAAAGGTCTGGGGACAGCTTAGTGCAACAGAATTTTGCAGGTGTTGTGAAGCCAAGATAAGTAGAAAGAATGGGGAGAAAAGGAGTGGGCAAAGGTGTTTTTCTAGCTGCTTCTAGCTTCTACCTTATGATACAACTGGGGCTCCTAAGATACAGAATTGATAAAAGATCCAGGCCTTTATTAGCATGCCTGGTGAGGCATTGCTGTGAAAGAAAGACAGACCCTTGGGTGCATGGAGGATCCTATAACTGGTTTTTTTAAAGAAAGGGTAAAATGCTTTGTTTGCCGTAAGCATCCACGTGAGTCTTCCTACTTAGACTCCATCTTGAGGCAGAAGTACACAACTTCATATTTTTTCCCCAAGTCTCTATGGCTAATATGTTAAATTCTACCAGATTGTATCTACAAGTGAATTGGAGAATAAGGCTAATAGAAAGTTCTATCTTTTTGAGTGACAATGATATAATTCATGAAATTATTATGTTTGATGGAGCCTTGATGTTGTGTGGCTTTGACACATATTATTTCATTCATTCAACAAATATATTTATGCAATGATAGTATATGCCAGGCACTGCTTAGGCACCTGTGGTATATCATGAACAAAAGAGGTAACAACAACAAAAATTCTCTGACCTTATGTTGCTTACATTCTAGTGAGAGGAAGATCAAAAATAAACAATACATGTCATAAATAAGTACATACTGTTTTATGCTAGAAGGGGATAGGGCAGGGTAGGAAAGATTGCACTACTGGGGGTAGGTCTGGGTCAGTACACTTTTAAAACGGTGGTCCCTTCAGGCTGCAGGAGACAGCTAAACAAAGGCTGTAGCAACTGGTGGAAATACCATGTAGATATGTGATGAAGGAAAAATCATTTCAAAGAGAGGGAAGAGCCATTTGTGAAGACTCCGAAGTAGGAGGACACTGCCTATTTTGAGGAATAGCATGAAATCAGTGTGGTTGAAGTGGAATGTATGAGAAGGAGATTAGGAAAAGAGGAAGTCAGAGAGGTAACAGAGGTCCAACCAGGGAGGGCCCCCTAAACCAATGAAAGGGTTTTAGCTTGTACTCTGAGTCAGATGAAAATCTCTTAAAGGGTTTGACAAAGGAATTCCATGATCTGACTTAAGTTTTAAAGGGATCGCTTTCCCGGCTGTGTTTCATATAGACTGGGAGCTGAGGGCAAGAGTGGCAGCAAGGAGCTGAATGAGAATCTGCTGGAGTAACCCAGCCGAGACTTCCTGAAGGCTCAGCTCAGCAAGGCAGGAATGGAGCTGGAGATAAGGGTTGTGATTCCGGATTCATTCTGAAGGTAGAGCCAACAGGGTTTTATTATGGCTTTTATTTGGGTCATGAGAGAAAAAGAAGAATCAAGGATGTCTTCAGAGTTTTTGGCCTGAGCAACTAGAAGAATGGAGTTGTCATTACAGAGAGTTTGCAGTGAATATCAGAAGCTTACTCTACATAGGTTCAGTTTCAGAAGGCTATTAGACATTTGCATGGAGTTGTTAAGGAAGCAACTCACTAATACTGAGTTGTTAAGTGAGCAGCAGTCCAGCGTTTAGGGGAGGGGTCCAGGTGGGAGAGTCTGTGCATTTAGGTCGTGTTTAAGGCTGTGAGAGTATTGCGACCACCTAGGGAGTAAGCAGAGATAGAAATGAGAAAAGAGCCATGGACTGAGTCAGGCATCGTGGAGGACAGCAAGAGGTTGGAGAAGGTTCCACTAGTGTGTTAGGACAGCCATGAGGGTGTGGTGTCCTGGAAGTCAAGTGAGGAAAATGTACCAAAGAGGAGGGAGTGGTCACGTGTCCACTGCTACTAAGGCCTGAGTACGGTAGTGAGTGCTCTGAGGTACTTAGCGATTTTGCCAATGCGGGGTTTGGTCAGTGGGTTGTAGGGACAGAGTGCCCCACTGTCGATTGAGCCTAGCCTGCCACCTAGCAGCCTGCATCTCAACTGGCTTTGTTCTCTGCTTAAAGCATTTTCATTTTATGGGGGAAATTATGCGCTATACATACATTGATGGTATTTGTCAGTCTCCCAATATGTCTCTGGACATGTTCATTATTAATAAGATGAGCCCCCTGAATGCTTGAAAGTGTACTGTTTAATATTTTATTATGTATATGTAAAAATGTGGACATAAAAAGGAGCTAAAAATACTCCCAAACACTCAGCCCACTAAATTAACATTTATCAAAGTATTTCCACCTAAGGGTTTTTGTAAACTTGCAGGTTCCTGAGTCTACATTCCAGACACCCCCCCAGCTTTAACAAGCTCCACAGATCACTGTTGCACAATTAAATTGGAGAAACTTTGCCCTGAAAATCAGTGGTTTCCATTTCTAAAACCTCCACAATCCTGCCGTGCAGAAATAATTTTACAGTTTGGCTCCCAGTGTATATATACATCATTTTCGTGTTTTACCTCATTTATATCTTTCTGTATTCCTGAAGATTCTTCATATTGGTGTCTTCAAATGGCCACACACACACTACCACATTAACATACCACTTTTCCAGCTTTTCCTAAATGGTTGGATATATTCCAGGTTTTAGCATTAATATGTGATGTGGTGCTAAATGTTGTTATACAGGGAGTTACCCTCCCTTTCAAGGTCCCTTGTTGGCATATCTTCCCCACAGAGGGTAAGGTTGGTACAGAGGGCCTGATCACTTCCATGACTTCGCGATTCGTGACTTGACAGACTGCCAAAACGTAAGAAATCTGTAACTCATCATTTCACTACATCATCGGCAAGATATCTGTGCGACTTTTTCTAAGTCCTGTGCCATTGTTGAATTTTGTCATATTTATCACATCTTCCTATTTAATGAAAAAAGTGGTATGATTCTCTACTGGTTTTAATTTACATTTCTATAATTATCAATGAGATTAACATTTTCTACCATTTCTATTTCTTATCTGTTTATGCCAGATGGACAGTTATTCATTGGAACTATTCTACAGACTAAGGAAATAAACATTTTCCTTCAAGTCAAATTATGAATATGTTCTCCATTATTTTGTCATTTTATTTGTGTCACTCTGTTTTGCTAGATCTTAATTTTTCTGTGACTTGGTTTAAAGCCACCTTGCTAAGTTATTGTACCATGTTACACTAATCACATATGGCTCTTATTTATGATAATAAAGAGGTTTCTGACTATTGATACAATCCCAGTTTCACATAAAGAACTCGATACAAAAATTAAGTCTATTGGTTTTGCCAGGCCTCTTCTCTGAAGCTGTAATTTTTAGAAGTAACAATTGCTTGAATGATTAATTACACCTTTACTTACACCAGTAAGGCCATAATTAACTGTTGGCACCTCCAACAAAATGAACAAATAGCTAATGGTCTTGACCAATAATTCTTCCCTTTTCATCTATTTATAGGGAAAAATTTGAGGCTGAGGATTTGACCATTCATTTCAATATAGTGCATTCATTTATGCTTGTCTTCTTGTCATACATAATGGTGTATTAAACAGATTTTTCTGTAATTATGGGTATTAACTAAAATGCAGAATTAAAATTCACCTCTGAGCTTGGTTTGGGCAGATGTGTGAAAATGTGCACCTTGTATAGACAAATCTATAACACTCTCACATGCTTTCTCCCTTAAAATAGCTTCTTTGGAATCAATAGGGAATTTTTTACTTTAACATAAAAAGGTGAGTTAAAAGAGAAGAATTGAATCTAACCTTTCTTCCCACTACTTAGAAGTGTTAGAAGGTACAAAGGGTGGTGGTAGGTCACAGTAGACAGTGACCTTTGAACAGGTATTGCCTTAAGTAAGATCCTCAAAAGACCTTGCTGGAGAAGTCATTCTCAGCAATTTTCTAAGGACCAGTTGCCTCAAAATTGTCTGGGGCTATTGTGAACATGCATGTTATTCTCTTAATTCTATTAATTTCAAGGTTTACTGTAATTCACATAAATTTGGTGTATGCTCAAAGATATGTGACACTTTGCTTATCATGGTTCTTCTTGAATGAGTGAACTATATTCATTTTCTCAGGGCTCAGTCACTTTTCTCCAACATAACTAAAAGACAGGCTTATATGGTCATGAATATATGCCATGCCTTCCAATATTAATATCTTCATACACAGATTATCTTGTTGTAGTCCAACTTTTTATGGAAGAGAACCCTTTCTCCAGGGCGGCATCATTGAAAGTCCCAAATGGAAGTGAGAAAAAAACAGAACACTCTTGTTGAAGTAGAGCTAGTGGACCCAGAGCCCCCAGGAGTTCTGTTCGTAAACCCAGGTTGTCACTGCAGCCTGTCTGTGGAGCCTCTAGGAAATGAAGATTTTTATTACATGGCCTTTGAGCTATGGCTCAGATTGCATGTGTGTTTTGATTTCCTGAAACTTGAATGTAAGCAAAAAATTTTTTCTGTTGAAAATAATTTTAATGTTTCATACAGGAAATCACAGAGATTTATGAATGAGATATGACATTGGATAATGAGATGGTCAAAAGTAGTCACACAAATCTCTTTTGGACCTAAAATATTTATCTCAAGTTCCAATTTTGACAGTGTAGAGGACTGAGTTGATTTAGATCCCCTCTAGTTACAAAAACAGAAATGTTTAAGATATAAAATCAATATAATAAAATTTTTTAAAATACATTGGTGATATTTACAGATTGGTCATATTTTACAGAAATCCCTAGTTGTCAGAAATACCGAAGAAACTTAAAGTTAGAGCAGAAAGCTTCTAAGCTGAAGACCTAGAGACCTAGGAATGATTTTTGATTGAGTATTGGTCCCAAGCCCGAGGGGTTTTAACTAAAGGGACTGAGAGCTGTGGGCCCCTTAAACCAATTGAGCTCCCTGCTTAAATCCTGGATATTGGAAGGGTATCCCCTCTGTGAGATAAGAACTCAAAAAACTCTTCTCATTAGCCCAAAAAAGAAATAAGGAAGTTTGTCTTTGTCTTGGGTTCTGATTTTTAAAAAATTTCCTTTGGAAGAAATGAGTGTGTTTCTGGACTATGGATTTGAAATTTAAAGGCATAATATTCACATGGTGTGAAAAATCCAAACCGAGAAATTAACGTAAAAGCAATTTTGGGGACTGTTGAAATCTCAAGACTGCTTGGTAGAAGCAAACACAAAAGTCACTCCATTAGCAACACTTTACAGTTCACGCCTCATGACAGTGTGCTCAAAATCAAAAATTACATATCTTGTAAGTAACTTATCTCTCATGAGAGAGTCAGAAGACACAGTGAACAGCAGAATTAATATTGCTGGAATTTCAGATAATAGGGTGACAACTTGGAAAAGACTGTAAAATAAGAATGTTTAAAATATTTTAAAGCCAGAAGGAGGAAGGAAGGAAGGAAGGAAGGACGGAAGGAAGGAAGATAGATGAAGGGAAGGAAGTGAGGGAGGGAGGGAGGGAGGAAGGAAGGAAAAATAAAAGACTACTATGTAAAAAGGACCAGGTTGATGTGTCAAAGAATCAAATAGGAAATCTCAACATAGAAACTATAATCCTAAATCATCCTAAAGCTGTTGTTTGTGTAACTCTGCCATTTGCTTAAAATGTTAAAGGAAACTGAAGGAACATTGTTCATTTTCCACCAGACACCATCTCTGTCCTCTCACTTCCTGCATTGGTAACTCAGGCGGCATCCTCATTGTGCTTTAGAAACACTGAGAATGAAAAGAAGGCCACTGGGGTAAAGGATCACTTATCCCATCTCTTCTCTCCCTGTCTGTGTCTAAGTCCTGTCCCCATACAACACTCTAACCCATGCCCCTCACCCTCCACCAGTCAACCTCTTCACACCATTTAATTACAGTTATAAATCACTACACGGTATCCTAGTAACTAGAAATAAGTTCTGATTTTAAAAATTGCTTAAATCTTTTTTCATTTTCTGTTTTGTTCAAAAAGAAGATGTGTAATTCAAAATAAATCCTTCTCTAACTTTTCTCTAATTGCAAAGGGAATTTTTAAATTGATAAGGCATAAGTAAATAAGGCAGTGGAAATTAGCAGAAGTTCTTGAATTTTTCTCCTAAAAAGAAAAGAGAAAAAGATGAACAGGGCTTCATGCATTCCAGAAACAGGAGAAATTACACAATGCATCCTCATCAAATCAACATGGTGCCAATAGAAACTGCTAGAGAAGCTAGTAAAGTGTGGGAAAAAAAACACCTCAGAAGCAGGCGTAGAGCCTACTGGTGAGACGAAGATGAATTCCATCCGCGAAAGCCATCATTTCTACTCAGCCTGCCCCAGACCACCTTCAGGCAGAGAATGAATATCGCAGAGGCCATTACTGTCAGAAGGTATAAACCTCTCAACTGGTGCAGCTACTGGCAGAGAATTGTGATGATGTGACATTGGGGCCAGAGTCCTTAGGCAGTACATTCCAGGAGAATACAGCTCTTATATCTGTCCTCAGGTATTTGCCAGGTGCACAGTTTGGGTATCTCGGCATTGAATCTGTTCTTCAATGTATAATGTTTACATGCTGCTGTGTGTGTGTGCACAGAGACAAAATGAGAAACTCAACTTGTTTTTGTGGCTATAAACAATTCTGAGACTATATGATCTGCCTAGGTTTTCATGTGGGTTGAAATTGTTTGTTTTCTAATTTCGCAGTGTGTGGACAATATACGGTGTAATGGTTTAATGACTATAGTATTTGAAGAGAATTCCAAGGTTACTGTGCCACATATGATTAAGTAAGTGTAATAATCCTTTCCCTTACATTTTAATCAAGTCAAATTGGTAGAGAACATAAAGCCCTGCATAAAACATTGCTTCAGTAGGATTCTGCTTCACTTTTGTGAATATGTTTCTTGACAGTAATGCAATAATTCATGGTATGCTATTATAAATCATAAGACTATCAAAATGGTTTTTTAGATTCGTGTTTATTGATTCATAGCATAAGAAAATGTTTTTCATACTGTTACATATGCTTTTATTCAGGACAAAAGCCTATTGAGATTTTTCAAGTTCAATATAAAAAGTTGTAACAGCCAGATGTATCCAAGGTCAGAGGCTGGGTCAAAGTATGGCACATTCTTTTGGCATCTTCCCAGTGGATCTGAATCGTATTACTCAGATTTGGTTGTAGAGATATATTTAGATTGCGAAGACACTTGACATGCATCAATTGGCCTTCCCAGGGTACTGTCTACTACTGCCCATAGGTGGATTTGCCCAAGTCTGTCATCATGCTGTCTCTCTGTTTTGTTAACAAAACATATCCTATAATTTAAGGTAGTCAATAGGGAAATGGTAGTTTAAAATGAGAAGTTATATCATTAACTGTGTGCCATTGCTCTCTGTATTAATGCTTTTGTCTCTACATACTTTTTTGATTATAAATTCTGAAATTGTTTCAGGAGTATTTTGAAGCTCACCAAATTGTTCCCTGTTCTCATTTTTTTTTTTTTTTGGTTATTTGTAGTTCAGATTCTAAGAATAAAATGTATTTTTGAAAGCAGTCCTGTTATATCTTTAAAAAAAGTTACATGAAACCAAGAAAATATTTGTCTTCTATGCATTTTTAATGTGGATTGTTTTTAGATCTAAGCTGTTTGTGCTAAGGCAATAAATAACATTAATTTTCCTCTTCTGATAGGAAATTAGTGTACTTAGCACCATCCCAACAGTACAACTTTTAGAACTTACTATTTATTGTATCAGATGAAGACAGAGTATGTTATACTCCTGCCGTAATTACTGCGGGAAAATATAAACTGTGAAAGAATGATAGTATTTTAAATTACTGATCAAATTTAAAAATATTTTAGGTAGAATCGTTTTAAGACTCTAGGACGAAGATTCCTTTAGCATTCAGTTTTTTGGTTTTTGATTTAGTATAGTTTTTTTGAACCACATTAGTTAAAAATGTATGATGCTAAGATTAAGACCAGGTATGCAGTATTCAATCAAAAGGTCCAAATTGTGACTTAATTTTTAAATTCACATCATTTGGTTAGAGTTATTTTAATTTTCTACCACAGGATGCTTATTTTAATATTTCACAAAATAGCATATGTAACTTTTATTCATTTTTAAAAGTAGTTTCTTGAAGGCTAGACAGCCATGAAAGTCCCAACTGCTTTAGAATGAGAATATGTGAATTGGACATTGCAGCCAAGTTATAAGCTCCTAAACCCTAGAGCTACTTTACGTATGCTATACATACATTTTGTTGACTTTAAAAATGAATACAGACACAAATTTTCATTTTGTGCCTGACTGGTTATGGCTGGTGCCCAAAGGCATCTTCTGTCTCCTATGATGTCCGTTTGACAAGTGTCCATATCCAACCTTGTAGTGTAACTACCTCACACACAGACCAAGACTTCCCTCTTATGGGTATACAGAGTGCTGCTTGAATGAGTAGGAACCGCTCTCCTGCTAGGACAGAAACCTGTAAAGATTTTCTATTAGAGTCACGCATGTTTTGATGCCCATCTATCCTATTCTAGACGTAATCCCAAGGCAAAGTAAAGTCTCATATATTTCTTCGTTCCTCTTTTCCCAGACTTACTGAGCCTGGTTTTCCTCAATCGGAGGAAAGAGGATAATTTTGCAGTCTCCCTTCCTTCTGATAGTTTCCCCTGTGGCCCTATTCTACCCTAAATTCTGTATTAGTGCCTCCCTGTGCCTCTCCTTGGCCACATACCATGAAAAAAAAAAGACAACATTTTTTTGATAGTTAAAAGAAAAACTATCCTAATTGTGTCTTGTTACTGACATGGCATCACTTTGCAGGCACTCACTTCCCTTTAAAACTTAATTATAATAGGTGATTTGGGTTTCATGTCTCAAGATTGCTTTTTTAAATTCACCAAAAAGGATTTGTTATTGTCACAGGAGGTTTAAGTAATGCATTATATCTCACTTGAGAGCCCCTTAGGAAATAAACACTGTGTTCAGTGTAATAAAAGAAAATTAAATAATTTTATCATATTTAATTTATTATCTTTTCTTAAAAGGAAAATATAATTTTGAAGGACAGTGGTATAATTAGTCAGTTTTATTTTAATTTAATGTTGCCACAACATATTTTTTTCTTCCAGTGTTGTTGTTTTTTAAGTAAGCTCTATGCCCAACATGGGGCTAGAATTCACAACCCTGAGGTTGAGTTGCATGCTCTACCAACTGAGCCAGCCAGGTACCCCATTTCTTCCAGTGCTTGGAGTAAAGTAATTAGAGTCAAAAGCTGCAAAGCTCAGAGCTGTTATTAGAATGCAAAATTATGATGCTTATTAGGTGAAAATACCCCTTTAAATGATGCTTCCATTTTAGGGCAGGGTAGGGTAAGGCTCGCTTCCTTTTAATAATAGTTGACCTCACCTTTCTTAGAAAATAGAGATTTTTAATGGGAAAATGGTCGGGGAGAAATTGATTACCTCAGTCAGCCATTTCTGGACAGCCTTATTGATTGATGAAAGTTCTAAGGTCTTTCTCCTAATGAGAAAATTAAGAACCATAAGAGTAAAGTTGATTAAGGGTCACGTAGTGAGTGGAAAAAAAGAGCCCCATGCCATTTTCAAGAATCTCAAAAGGTGTGCTTGTGTATTTTCGAGATCAATGAAGTGGCTCAAACAAATGGGCCACCCTTAGTTTCTGGGGAGGGGTAAGTTAAGCTGCTCATTTAAAATGCTCTTTCGAGCCTGTAAATGAAGTACTCTTGCCTCACCAAGCATATGTTGGGGTGGGAAGTTTCCAAGAGAAAGCTAAGAAGGTTATTGATTCCTTTTTATTTGAAGGAAAATAAATATACAATTTAAAATCCCTCGGAGTGCTGAAGGGGCTAATTTAGGGCACTCACAACAAGTGAGCTGATTCTAAGCAAGCAATCACCTTACTGAACGTTCCTGGCCCTGCAGCATGTCTGTTCATCAAGTCCTGGTGAAATCCAGGACTTCACTGTTGGCTTGTTCTGAGATACTGCAGTGGAGGGGAATAAGGGGTCTCAGAAGGCAATGCAAAAGCTCTGGGCAGTCCTAACAAAGGTGTGCATTTCTTTGAGCCCCATTTGGATTCATCCCCTGCTTCCAGGCATCCCCTCTTGCAAGCTCTGCCTTTCTGCTGGCCTCTTTTGCCCTTTCAAACAAATGTGCACCACTGGCTGAGCGCTCTAAGCACAGCCACAGATTGTGAGGGCTGCTGTGTGAACCTTCCTGCTAGCGTGCTCATCCACCTCGACAGGCTGCTCAGGCACCCAGGGAATCCAGTAGGGTAAAGGAGCAGCTACATGGGAGGTTTTACAGAATGAGGAAAAAACAGAACACTGAAGGGGGTAATGGTGGATACTGTTCATGGAGAATGTCATCCATTACTTTTTTTTTTAAATGAAGATATTTTTAACACTTCAAAATATTGCAAAATAATGAAGACATAACATTTCACACAATTTATGGATTAAACTGTACTACTCATAAAATGGATAGACTTAAATGCGCTAATGAGCCAGGAAGAATGGAGTGAATTAAGCATTCAGTTCAAGAAGTTAGAAAAAGAATGACAAAGTAAACTGTAAGAAGGTGTGGGAAGAAAATAAGATAAGAACAGACATGAATACATTAAAATATAGAAAAACAGTAGAATTGATCAAAGAGCCAGTTCTAAAGGGAAAAATACCTAATAACATAGCCTGTTGGTCAGTTTAGTTAAGAGAAAACGGGGGGGGGGGACACAAATGCACAAAATTAGAAGTGAGGAAAAAAAAAAACCATAAATATAGCAGTGAAATCTGTGTCTCCCTCTCCCCCACTACCCATTACTTACTGAGCACACTTCTGATATGCTGATTTAAAGACATAAGCAATGCCCCTCCTAAATAGGGCATTTGGTTTCATTTCCCTAATAAAACATGATTGAACTAGAGAGAGAAGTGAAGGCTAGCAGAATGTGCCACCCCGAAACATGCCACTTGGGCGTATTGATTGAGCTGTAGGTACTTGAAAAACAGCAAATGCAGGGAGAAACTTTCTCTGAATTCCTTTTATTTGCCTAAAGACAGATCCTCCAAAAGGCACTCAGTTGTCATAAATCCCCTCCCTGGGAATTTCATCAACCAACTTTTATTGTAGGAGAGGATACTAGAAGTCAGCCCCACACCTAGATGAACTGTCCCAAACTATCCTATATCCCATCTAGTCTCCTAGGGGCCCATTCATCTTTCCTAAAAATCATTTACTCTCCCCTAAGAGGCCTACCCCTCCTGCCCCCCCCTTCCTTATTAAGGTGTTTAAGCCTGAATTCTAAGCCACCTCTGGGAGTTGCTTATTTTTCCCTGGGTATCTCCCATGTGTACATGAGGTATGCGTGTTAATAAACTTCTGTTTGTTTTTCTCTTGCTAATCTGTCTTTTATTACAAGAGTCTCAGCCAAGAACTCAGAAAGGTAGAGGGAAAATTATTTTTCTTCCCCTACAGAAGGAATCCACAGAACGAAATGAATTATTCTTACCTTCTCTGCAATTAATTCTGATCTCCCTAAATTATAGGGACATAGTTGATGTTTTTATAGCCCTGCCTTCTTGCATGTAATAAGTCATATCAACATCTTTTATCAAATACAATGTGAAGCCCACATACAAGTTTGTGTTTTGGAATACTGAAATACTCAGTGGCTGAGAGGAAGCCATGTCCCGGTTTTGTTCTTATGTTCCTGCTTTGTGGGTAGGTCTGATGCCCGTCTTCATAAAGATGACACCGACATTTGCTTCAGTAAAACACTGAACTCCTGCAAAGTGCCCCAGATCCGCTATGCCAGTGTGGAGCGCCTCCTGGAGCGGCTGACAGACTTGCGGTTTCTCAGTATCGATTTCCTCAACACCTTTCTGCACACCTATCGTATTTTCACTACGGCAGCTGTGGTGCTGGCCAAACTTTCCGACATATACAAGAGGCCTTTTACCTCCATCCCTGTCAGGTAGGCTCTGGACTTGCCTGTCGTGGAAGTTGGCTCTCATGGTCCCTGGGTCTCCATGCAGATTTCTACAGGACTGGCTCACCTGGGAACTTACATGCCCTGCCTGTAGAAGGGGGTGGGTTGAGGTCACAGATAGTTCTCCATGGAAGAAGCTGAGAAGCCTAGAGTCCCCAAGTCATCTTTGCTTGCTCCATGATTATTTGGAAGCTAACTGTATTGTTTTAGGCTTTCCTATTTTTTTTTTTTTTTTAACACTTGGGCTTTTCAAACTTTAACATGCATTAAGAATCACCCAGGGGTCTTGTTAAATTGCAGACTGTGATGTAGCATGTCTGGAGTGGAGCCTGAGTTCTGCATTTCTGACAAGCTCCCCAGAGATATCAATGCTACTGGTCTTTGACCCACAGTTGAGTAAGCAAGGGATTAGACAAGGCCTAAAATGTGTCTGTATTCCTTCAGCAAGTATGTGGTATATAGGTAGCATTTAAATGAAGTAAATCCAGCAACGGAAGTGTGATGATATTGTGGCCTTTTAATGGAGGGAGCATGTTCTGAATGATAAGGGAATCCTCTTTACTTAACTGTCTTCTGTCCATGGCTTCTGTTCTTACTTTTAGGTCATTAGAATTGTTTTTTGCCACCAGCCAGAACAATAGAGGTGAACATTTGGTGGATGGCAAATCCCCACGCTTGTGTCGCAAATTCTCTTCCCCACCACCGCTGGCTGTGTCCAGGACGTCCTCCCCAGTGAGGGCCAGAAAGCTGTCCTTGACTTCTCCGTTGAACTCAAGGATAGGAGCGTTGGACCTGACTACCTGCTCAGCGTCCAGCAGTCCTACCACCACCTACAGCCCTGCTGCATCCCCGCCACCGCACACTGGCAAAGTACCGTTGGATCTTAGCAGAGGCCTTCCTTCTCCAGAACAAAGCCCGGGATCTATAGAGGAGCCTGTAGATAACCCCCGCGTGGATCTGTGTAACAAGCTAAAACGAAGTATTCAAAGAGGTATTATCCAGCTGCCACAGCCTGTGTTTGTTTGCTGGCCACCTGCTTCCCCACCATTCCTTCTGGAGCTCTAGATCCCTCTCTTTATAGCTTTCCTACTCCTGTGTAGAAAGTAGAATGAATACAATGGCTAGTTAGAAGAGGCAATGCCTGTAGGTCACTCTAGTCTGTGTGGGAAGGAGGGCAAAGTTAGCTGTCCTGGGGTCTTTTACAGTAAAAGGCTGATTGTAGTCAGCTGTGTATGGAAAGACAGCATTATCTGAACAGTATTACTGGAAGGGTCCTCATGGAATTTGGTTAAGGCTGTTTGGTAACGAGCCTAACATGATACTTTGTGTAGAGGTAGGAGGTGGGCACCCTTTTCTGGGAACTTGGGCCTCAGAGCCTTCTCCTTCAGTGTCTGCCTTGAACACCAGTACTGCTTCCAGTCTCCCCTGCTGAGGATGACCCAGCCGGAAGCATTAAGATGGCTTCTTCAGTTTAGTTACCAAGGCAGTGCTTCATACTACAAGAGATAGAGTGAGAAAAATAAAATTCGAGACAGTGTTCATTGTCCATGACAGCCAAAATGGTTTTTTTAAAAAGGTGAATTAGATATGTTTTCCTGATTAAATTCTCTAATGACTTTCTGTGGCACTTAGATTAAAATCTATTTTCCCTCACAAGGCCTTCAGATACTATGAGACTTGGATCTTGTCTCTCCAACCCCTGTTCCCATCATGCTCCCTCATCCACAGGGACTTCCTTTTTGTGTCTCAGAAACAGCTCAACAATTTCTGCCTCAGGGCGTTTGCACTTGTTCTTCCTCCTGCCTAGGCATGTAAGTTCCATAAGATAAGCAACATTGTCTATCTTATTCATCTGTGTACTCTCAGTGCCTTGGCCAGTGCCTGCCAGGTAGTTAACTTTTGTTAAATGAATGAATCAAGCAAAACATTCAGTTAACTAACCAAGGATCCTGTGTTCTGTCACCTTACCTTTTGCAACTCAGTACAATGTAGGGGTTAGAGGAGGTGACTTTTGTTGCTTTAGTGTTTCTGTGGTGAAAATAAAAAAGGTTTCATAGCCAAATTAGCAAATAACTTTTTTTTCTGTATGATAACTGATTTATTTACTGATGACATAAAAAAAAAATTGGGTATTTAATCAAAGTGTCCAAATTTCAAGGAGGATCACCCAGATGGAAGCATAGACCCTTGGCTTCTCTACCGGCTTGAAGCTTCTATATATTGCCTAGCTCAGATAATTTAAAAATAAGCCTCCTGAGTGAAGTACTTAATGGAATTTTAACTGGATGGTTGTCATTATCAAAAGTAGCACCCTTTTAAACAAGAAATTCTTTAAATTGACAAGTTAGCAACTAAGGAGGAGGGAAGGAGGAAGATAATTAAAAAGTCATTACAACAACAAGCTTTAGTAGAATCATGATGGATTCTTCTTGGGAATAATGAGGCAGCACGCAAGCTGACAAGTACATTTGGGGTTCCATCCAGCACCAGTGCCTGGGAACCTCTGTGGAGAGAGCAACTTAGGGAAGCTTATCACAGACCTGCCCCCTGGGGCAGGGTGCCCTGGAAAGTATAGGAACTTCCCTGAATATGGGAAGGTCTGTTCCTTCCTTTAATTGGATTGCAGCAAATAGAAGTCTGGGGGTAAGTCTGGATTCTTGTGTTATTTTGAGTTAGGAGAGCTTTAGGAGTAAGCATGTCATGGCTTTGAGTTTGGTCTGAATTCATGTTGTGGTTCTAGAGGTCCTCAGTCAAGCTGCCCATTGCCCATCATGGCTAATTCTTCCTCTTAACTTGTTACAGATTGTGACATTGCTCACCAAGTTCCCTAGTTCTGGTATTCAACGCCCAAGCCCAGAGTGTGTAGCAATGGTCCAATGTTTGCCCTGCTATATAGGATGGAGGTGTGGTCACTGGTAGGAATCAGTAGTTTTTTCCCCTATTCAAGTTAGACTCAGGGAGACCAAGATAAATGAGGAAGAACTGGATTAAGCTCCAAATGAAGGACACTGACAAAGGCTCCTAAGGACTGGTCAGTGCAGATGTTGGACAGAGTTGCAATCACTGTGTTCTCAGCTCGTGGCAGCTGGAGAGCTTGTCATGTGGCAGCATTGAGCATTTATGACTGGCAGCCAAAGGTGGAGAAAACCTATGAATAATGGTGTGGTAAAAATATTAGGTTCTCAGGGGCATCTGGGTGGCTCAGTTGTTTGAGTGTCCAACTCTTGGCTTCTCAGCCCAGGTCGTGGTCTCTGGGTTATGAGATCGAGCCCTGTGTGACAGTCTGCTTCTCTCCCTCTCTTCTCCCTCTGCACCGCCCCGCATCCCCTGAGCTCGTGCGAACTCTTTCTCTCTCTCAAATAAATAAATAAATTAATAAATAAATAAATAAATAAATAAATAATCTTTAAAAAAATTTAGGTTCTCTGCCACATTAGAAAAATAGTAGAGGGCTTAATGCCCCGATTTTCACTGGATTTCCCCCAAACAAATGATTTGCAGTTAGATTTTTCAAGAGTTAGTTTATCCATGTGGTTCATGAATTAGAGATGTCATTTTGCTCTTCCAGGTCATTGTTAAATGCAGAGCTGTTTTCACTCTGGGTGATGGAGAAGTTCCAGGATTGTGTCAAGTGGGCCTCATGGCACTTGATGAAGCACACTAGGGCCAACCTCTCCTCCAGAGAGGGCAGCTCCTCTACCCTCTTTGTTTCTTATTCACATCCACTAATGTGCACCCCCCTTATTGCTCACCAATTGCCCCCCAGTCCTTCCATGCCACTTCTTTGCTCCTGGTCACTTCTTTACATCATTCTTTCTTATTTTTTTTCAAAATTTTATTTAAATTTTAGGTAGTTAACATACAGTTCAATATTGGTTTCAGGAATAGAATTCAGTGGTTCATCACTTGCATACAGCCTAAAAGTGCCCTCCTGAATGCCCATCACCCATCCAGCCCCTCCGCCATCCAGCTCTCTCCATCAACCCTCAGTTTGTTTTCTATCGTTAAGAGTCTCTTATGGTTTGTTTCCCTCTCTCTTCCCCCCCCTTCCCATATGTTCATCTGTTTTGTTTCTTAAATTCTACATGAGTGAAATCATACGGTATTTGTCTTTCTCTGACTTATTTCGCTTAGCATAATACATCTAGCTCCACCCACCCTACATTGTTGCAAATGGCAAGATTTCATTCTTTTTGATGACTAATATTCCATTACACACACACACACACACACACACACACACACACACACACACACACACACACCATCTCTTCTTCATCCATTCATCAGTTGATGGACGCTTGGGCTCTTTCATATTAGCTTGGCTATTGTTGATAATGCTGCTATTGTGATAACATCACCCCTGATGCTAAACATCGGGGTGCATGTACCCCTTCAAATCTGTTTTTAGTATCCTTTGGGTAAATATCTAGTAGTGCAATTGCTGGATCATAGGGTGGTTCTATTTTTAACTTTTTGAGGAAGCTCCATACTGTCTTCCAGAGTGGCTACACCAGTTTGCATTCGCACCAACAGTGCAAGAGGATTCCCTTTTCTCCACATCCTCACCAATCTGTTGTTTCCTGTGTTGTTGAATTTAGCCATGCTGACAGGTGTGAGGTGGTATCTCATCATGGTTTTGATTTGTATTTCCCTGATGATGAGTGATGTTGAGCATCTTTTCATGTGTCTGTTAGCCATCTGGATGTCTTCTTTGGAGAAATGTCTATTCATGTCTTCTGCCCATTTCTTAACTGGATTATTTGGTTTTTGGGTGTTGAGTTTGATAAGTTCTGTATAGATTTTGGATACTAACCCTTTATCAGATATGTCATTTGCAAATATCTTCTCCTGTTCTGTAGGCTACCTTTTAGTTTTGTTGATTATTTCCTTTGCTGTGCAGAAGCTTTTTGTCTTGATGAAGTCCCAATAGTTCATTTTTGCTTTTGTTTTCCTCTGGTGACATGTCTAGTAAGAAGTTGCTACAGCTGAGGTCGAAGAGGTTGCTGCCTGTATTCTCCACTAGGATTTTGATGGTTTCTGGTCTCACATTTAGGTCTTTTATGCATTTTGAATTTATTTTTGTGTATGGTGTAACAAAGTGGTCCAGTTTCATTCTTCTGCATGTTGATATCCAGTTTTCCATCATTTGTTGAAGAGACTTTTTTCCATTAGATATTCTTTCTTGCTTTGTTGAGGATTAGTTGACCATAGAGTTGTGGGTCCCTTTCTGGGTTCTCTATTCTGTTCCATTGATCCAGATGTCTGTTTTTGTACCAGTACCATATAGCTTTGATGACTACAGCTTTGTAATATAGGTTGAAGTCTGGAATCATGATTCCTCCAGCTTTGCTTTTCTTTTTCAGGGTTGCTTTGTCCATTCGGGGTCTTTCGTGGTTCCAGACAAATTTTAGGATTGCTTGTTCTAGCTCTGTGAAAAATGCTGGTGGTGTTTTGACAGGGATTGCATTAAATGTGTAGATTGCTTTGGGTAGTATAGACATTTTAACAATGTCTGTTCTTCTAATACATGAGCACCGAATGTTTTTCCATTTCTTTGTGTCCTCTTCAGTTTCTTTCATAAGTGTTCTGTAGTTTCCAGAGCATAGATCTTCTACCTGTTTGGTTAGGTTTATTCCTAGGCATCTGACGGTTTTTGGTATAATTGTAAATGGGATGGATTCCTTGATTTTTTTTTTTTCTGTTGCTTCATTATTGGTGTATAGAATGAAACAGATTTCTGTGCATTGATTTCTTTCTTTATTTTTAATTATTTTTTTGAGCAAGAGTGAGAATGTGTGATGGGAGAGGGAGGGGCAGAGAGAAAGGAAGAGAATATTTTTTTTTAAAGATTTTATTTATTTATTTAGAGAGTGCGAGCAGGGAGGGGGCAGAGAGACAGAGAGAGAGAGAGAATCCTAAGCAGGCTCCACACTGAGCACATTTCCTGACCCTGGGCTCAATTCCACTACCTTGAGATCACGACCTAAG